TTACGTGTTTACAAAAACGTGCGCATTTGCTTACTTATTTACGCGTTCTTTGGGGTGACTAAATCCTTCATACACTATGCAACAAAAACTAAAAATAAATATGCGAAATGGAGCGAAATGTTAATACAGCGCCTGGACCCCGATAAAGCCGAAAGCCAGGCAACGATGGCACCTATGCAAGGAATGTCGTGTTCCGATAGCTTCTGCATTGAAAATACTGTACTAATTTTTGAAAGACAATTTCTAAGATTTGTATCCTAACAATTCTAAGATGTTTCGTATTATTCAATGAAATTCAAGAAACAAAAATTTCTTTTGCTACTGTTCTATGGTGGAGTTCAAAACATTTTCCTTGAGACAATATACCTTCAGGATAATAAGTACTTGCGGTAAAATCTAGAAATTGCTACATTTTAATTTCGCGCAATTTGCGCGGGGGCTCTGCTTACATTCATAATGCTCTAAAACAAAAAAGGATTAGCATTTGGGAAAACGGGAGAATAGTTTAGGTAAACGGTCTCCTGAAGCCTATTTTCAATCTCAAACATGGACCCACATAAGGATCGTCTGAATTACAGGATTCATGCCGACTACAAGCTCTTAAGGTTACGGTCCACGGGCCGCTACTTCGTCAAACATCCATCTAGAGGTACGCGATTAGAAGAAGAATTTTCGTTGCCAACAGAGGAGGCTAGCAGAAGGAAAACGACAGACAGACACACTTGCAAGAGCTGTCTCCAGCCCAAATCCGTGGTAGCGCCCTGTCTATGTTGTTCGGGTCTTCATCCGCATGCGTCCTTCATCTGCCAGCGACGCGGACGATTCAAAGCAACTACGACTCGTTGGAGTCTTTCTTCTTCCAAGCCTCTTTTCTTCAATGATGACATTTCTAAACCAGAACAACGTACGTACTTGCAGATTCTCCGCCAGCAGTAAACTTAAAAGTATTTGAGCTTTTAGGCGATTTTTTGCAATACCTAACTTTTTTAGTTTTTACCCCTACAGGGGCAGATTTCCTGACAAGCTGCGAGAGAAGCCCGAAAAATTATCGGGCATACCACTGAAAGGGATAATGTACAGAGTGAGGCAAAATTACATAGTAAATTAAAGGATTTGTATTTTTCTGATTTCAGGATAGAATAAGAAAATCTATTATAAGAAGTTTGGGTTCATTAAAAATTTACTAAGTAATTATGTCTCACCCTGTACATGGTCCATTTCCAACCAGATGAGCTCCATATCTGGTTGGAAATGCAGAAGTGCTTGAGAGGAAAAAAGACGGCAGCAGGTTCTTCCTGCCTCCATTCACACGTCTATCGTTGCTGTAGACCCGGGCATATCGCTGGGTTGGAAAGCATGAGACTGCGTGGAATGCAATCTCAAAGTAGCTCACCCCTTGGAAAGACCATGCAGGTTTCTGAAGCGTGTGAAGCAAGCAAAGGGCGTTACACTTGATATGTTCGTAAGCCATCATGCGACGGAAATGATCGCGTCGTTGAAAAGTGTTGTACAGTCACATTTCGAATCGATAAGTTTGATCCGAAATCCCCCCTCTCCCCTGCCATTTTTCAGGGAGTTCCGTTCCAAAGTATGCAAATGAGAATTACCGTAAAAATTTGGAACACTCAGGTATCAGAGCCCTCCCATTCCCCTTCAGTGATTTCTGTCTCAGAGCATTCCTAATACAACGTTCGCATTTCAAATAGCCAGGCTTTGAATCGACAATATTGCATTCCGTCATGAGGGAACCTGCATACAAATTTTCTGCGAGCCTCTATTATTCAAGTGAAACTCGTCGTTTCGAAAGCCCAAGCATCAAAGACTATGGAATGATTTTGAGCTATGCGTGGTATGCGGATCGGCTCGACTGAACCGACCCTACCCTCGACTCGGGTGTGTAGCAAGGTTGCCAATCAATTTCCCGGTCTGGTGGGAACGAAAAAGCAGAAACCTCGAGTTCTGAAGCGTAGAAGCTTAAGTGGGCTGTGCGTCGGCACAAGCGGCACGACGCGATCCACGGGTCGGGCCTGAAAAGGTCGGTCGTCCATCGAGATCAAATCGAGCCGATCGGGTCTGGGTTGGAAAAATGGACCCGTCCTGGCCTCGGTGGATAGGCAGATGAACGTCAGCTGCTAATACTGCAATACGTTATTGTAATATGCATAGCGCTACGTTCGCATTTCGCATCAATCTCCTGACGTGTCTATGCAGAGTGATGTGGCATTGTTACTGGTTGGAATACTTCTATTCCGTTGAATTCATTCATTCATTAATTCAGGATATTACCATACAATGGAAATCAAAATGTCTCAATTCTAGGGAAAGAGAATGTCCGGTTGTGACATTTTTGTTAACGTCATAAAAGCTTGTACGTGGGGACTGTCGTCTGCTGGAATGTAGTTGTTTTATCGAACTTTCACACTATCGACCGGTTTCGTTCGATAATTGCTATCAATCAAGATTGCTATATTTCCATATCAAATCATGGTTACCTCGATTTAACGCTTATTCCCACGTCGGAATCGTCCATCACATGCGTGTCATCGAGATTAACGTGACCTGGCGATTCCCATCGTGGGAAGAAGCCAGGAAGATGAGCAAGGCTAGAACGTTGACTGGGAGTAATTGTCGTGTCCAGATGGCGGTGGGGCGGCTGACCCACCTGTCCTTAAGAATGGGTGGGTGATGGAGGGTCCACAATATGTTCCAGTTAAAGAGCTGAGTGCTTAATTTTTTACTTTGGTACTTCGATGCTGGAATGATGAAACAGGACGAGAATGAACATGGAAGCAATAAATGTCATACTCCGTTCATCATGGCTTCATCAGAGCAGTGGTGTAGATGGGGAGAGGACGATGGCTGGTTAGGATCTTCCCGACAACCAGTTACTAATCCAATTTCTTATCCTAGCCTGCATCCCGTGCACCTCCAATTGAACCCTGAACCACTTGTTCTTGTTCAGAGTGAGAAGTTCTTAATAACTTCTTATCACTCTGAAAATCCTCATGGAGGTACTGGCATTGTTTTAGCCCGTTGTTCATGACAAAGATGGAGCTTTGATGCTTCCTTTTCCTCTTCACAGCTCGAATCCACGCCGTCTGTCTTTCTTTTGCAAGTTCCTATGAAAGGAAACTATTCAGTCTTAAGAGCCGTTCACATTGGACTACTTCGCCGAAGGTGCGGCGCAGGCCTGTCTGAGCGCGCCCATAGAAAAGAATGAAACGAATTCTACTCCGAAGTATCGTCGCAGCTGCGGCGCACCGACGCAAGGAGTTCGGAGTCAAAACTTTTCTTACGGATAGCCAATGAGGAGTTGATGACGTCCTTACGGAAAGCCAATAGGAACGCCGGTTGATGTGCGGCCAGCACGAGCTCTGAAAACCGGAAACAGCCTAGCCTTAATGATTGACTCTAGGTTTCTGTACGTCACTTAAGGTCTCAAAAATGCCCTTCTCACAAGAATCATTATCGTTATTTCAATACCAAGTCTACAACCAGTTTGTGAGATAGGCGTAGTCCACCTAATCTTTGTCAAGCCAAGCAGGATACACAAAAACCTGTTGAGATCGGTCTACGTTAAAAGGAACGGAAGAAGGTAATACTTGGCGAAAGAGTAACACAGCGTTTGCCTAGGGTTGACATAAGATCTTAAATTCAACCTACACCCAACATTAAGTTGTGCCGACTAAGATAATAAGACCGTTAGGTTGGACGTACACTGTTTTCGGATTGAATTCGTACCTTTCCCTGTAGTGGAGATTAAGGTAAGGTATTAAGGTACGCGTAAGATAAGAGACAGGAAAAACCCTCGTCCCATGCTAAGTTAATGGCAGAATAAGTTGCTTCACGGGGCAATGTGTCACGACTAAACCAGCTATTGTATTACAAGTTTCTTACTTGGAAAATAATCTGGAAAGACTGGGTCATGTTTTGTTAGGAAATTTGTTTTGGATTGAATGGGCTTTTCCAGGAATAATAGTGAATTATTATTCTCACACAAATGACAAATTTTATGGCTTTTTAGTAGGACTGCACCGATGGCCACATTTGGCCGCTGGGCCGATTTTTTCCTCATAACCATCAGCACATACCTTCCAAAAGCATAACGTAAATGGAGCTGCAATAATTCCCCTTCTTTACCGCTACTTTCCTCTGCCGGTTTTTATAATCCGGCTGGAATATGATCCGATCGATATTTTTGTCTGGGAGAGGCTGGCAGGAGTGGCTTTCAGTGGGACAGGAGAGCCGACGCACAGCTGCGTTCACATCTTCACAGTCTTTTTTTCATTTTACCCGTCCTTTGGACACCGGCACCGGCACCGGCGTCAAAGGCCAATGGCGCCGATAGTGCAAAACCGGCGGCCGATACATTGGTAAAGCCCTACTTTTTATGTTCATTTCGCTTCATAAAGAGATCATGGAAAATGTAAGAAAAAAAAAACAGTTAAGTCTCTCAGCTACTTCTCCAAAGATCATCTCCATACATGAAGGCATGTGGACGTGAAACTCTGGACAATATTCGCAAAACTCTCGTTTTCGAGGCCATTTGGCGTACTATACTTGAAATTTTTATTTTAAGGAGAACATTATTTTCATCTATGCACAAGAGTTGTACACCATTAAATCAGGCTGCAAGAGGGCGGAAATAGGACGAAAGCGCGATACCTTGCCTTCGGTGTCATAGCCGCCAATATACTTATTGCGGTTTGAACAGAATAAACACATTTGATGCGTCTTGGCATCGGGAAGGAAATTGTCTGTGTCATGTACTCGAATGGGTTTTTCTATCCATTTGCGACCCCTTTCACTCCTTTTTTATCCTCGCCATCGGGCATGAACCCAGCCCCCTTACCTTGGGCCGGAGGACTACTTTCTCCGGCCAGCTTTACCCTTAAGTAGGGGAGGTCCTCCGACATTCAGGATTGGCAGAGCATTCTCCGGGCCTTCCCGAGGCATTCATGGACCTTCCACTCCTCGGCAGTGCAACTCTCTTCTGCCATTTCTTCCACTCCTCGGCAGTGCAACTCTCTCCTGCCATTTTCTTCCACTCCTCGGCAGTGATTTCGAGTGTCTCTCGTCACTTCTTGCGAGCCTCAGGACCCCATGCTACTACCACTTCATCCACATCCTGGTGACCTCCGTTCGGAGGATATTCTGTTCCAGAAATACTAAACCTTGTGCAAATGGTAACAAGTGTATTTCCTTTCCCTACCATGCAAATACTGTTCACGTGAGGCTTGGCGCTGAACCTACGCCGACGTCAGCCTGCTACAATAGCGGCAAACGAATAACGCTACCCATCTCTCGACAGCACCACAAAAGCCTACCACGTGACACAGGTATACTAAGTTTAAAACATGCGTTGGAAGGATACGAATTTTTAGTTTATCAGTTTAATTGCCCAATTGAATTTCATTTCTCTATCTAATTTTATTTTCATGCTTGTCTCTATCTGAAAAAAAAACTTTAAAAATGACCATTTCTTCTCGTTTCAATTTGCATGCTGATTATAAGTACAGCTTTAAAAAAAAGTATCCCATCCGTACTAGTTCAAGGCCTGTATTTGACAACAATAATCAGGAACAAGGTACAATACATGGCTCGTCTATGGATGAGATAGGGAACCCAGTGCACAAGCAGCATTATGCTGAGCTGATTCTGATGTTTGTGACACGTCACAGGTTTGGTGTTACTTTCAGTTTCACTCTTAGGAGGTTTTGTTTCATAAGAATTTAGGAAATGAAAGAAGGGACCAATCCCTGTGACAAGGGGAGTGTTTTGCAGTGGCGCAACCAGCCCTAAAGTTTTTTTTTTGGGGGGGGTTCGAAGTTCGCATGACCTGTCTTTCAAATGTCTCCATATGCAAGATGTTATCAAATCATCAGGAGAGATATGCTCGACAAAAACGCGAAACGGCGAGAACACGCGAACGAAGAAAATGAAACGAAGAAAAATGTTATGAAATGGTGGAAACGAATTTGAACACTAAATGATGAAAGTACATTCGATATCTGAAAAAGCTTAAAATTAGTTAAATTAAACTCGGAATTCAGCCTAAATATCAGTGAGCAGATGTGCAACTAGGTACATTAACCTGTACGATTCACGCCTTTTATTTGAATTGTCTTCCTTCCGTTTCCAGAAAAAAATTTAGTAGCGGCTCGTGTGACGTTTCCTTGACTTTACTAAAGTGAGTTGCTACATGTAATTGGCGTGACCTTCACGTTTAACCGCCTATCTTTGTGCCTTTCCAACCTCGCACTCTGGTCGTGTGCTCATATCTTTCTGCGTCCCTCACCCTCGGGGGAGAGGGGAATGAAGAAGTAGAGAGATACCATCATGAGCAGGGGTTTGGGCGGTGCGCTTCGGAATGTCGAAAGAAGAAATGTCGACAAGAAACTAGTCGACGGCAAAAATGTCGATGGAGAGAATGTAGAAATACAGCAATGTCGAGAGGAGAAAAGGCAGATGGAGTAAATGTTGAATGGGACTTTTAATGCACTCTTTAGGCGGAGCACTTTTCGGTCAAAATTTCCAATAGATTTCAGGAAAACAATCGTTTAAAATAATGATTGTAAAGTTTGACCATCATTGCAGTTGGAAATTCAATATTTCACATTGTACGCAATCGCACTCAAGAAGTTATTGGCGTCTCTGTTTCGATATTCCAGGGTAACAGACCGTATCCGCTGATGGGTTTCTTCCACCTTCCTTTTCTTTTTCTGGGGAATCCCAGTTTCCAATTTTCCTATTTCCCGACCTGTGTATTCTCCACCTGGAGTTCTTGGATCATTAGGAAGATATTAGGATGGGTTTTCAAACAATACTAGAAAATCGTCGATGCCACATCTCTATGGAAAGGGACCTCATGACTTTCCAGTTATATACACAGTGAAGTTCGAATGGCTCCACCAGTCCCTTCGTCGCCCCTTTCGAGGAGCATATCGTTCAACTAAGTCAAGTTTGCACACTCCCATGGAGGGATCAATCTAGAAATCACATCTTTCGACATTCGACGCGAGTCGACATTTCCTCTTCTACGATGTTTTAGAATTCTGGTTCCATTCCATTCGACATTAAGCAGAAGCGACATTTCATGACATCTACATTCTTGCCCTTCGACATTACTATCTTTCTGCATTTCCTCATTCGACATTCCGACGTGCGTCCGGGTTTGGGGTTCAGACCCCTCGATCCCCCCCCCCCCCCCCCCCCCCCCCCCCCCCCCCTCTGCAACCCTGCTGCTGCTCTCCGTATCTGGGCGTAGCGCGCGATTAGCCCATATAGATTTTAATAATAGGCTTACGAACTTACGAATGAAGTACGCTTTCCCTAGGTAAGCAGTGGGCTTGGAAATGCGCCCCTGGTGTTAGGAGAAGCGGACGTTTCGGTGTCAGGCGTATAGTACAGGCAAACTCCTTCTGCAGCCCCTGTTGTCGGATTTCTGTTTTGAAAATTGGGAAAGATTGCAATTGATTGGCAAAATTTTTTTCGGAAATGTGAAATGAGTCATGATGGAATTACCCAAATAAATTGTGGAAATCGTTGCACGGTCACATCGCTGAAAAATCCAGCAGAAACTGGAGTCGAAAATGGAAATTTCGAATTTCTTATCGTCGTAGTGAATCATGTCGAACAGAACATATTTAAGTCACGGGGGATAATAGCACGCAGGTATCACGTAACGAGTTATTCTAGTCTTGCCTAAAAAAATGTTTGCATTTATTTTACTTCGGAGGAATCCACGAACGAGAGGTGAACGAAGCACCCGAATAGCTCGCTTAACTAAAGGCCAATTGCACGGATACTGTAAATCGTGCGACAATGCTCGACATATTTGGTTGCCATGTTTGCAATGATCTCAATCTGTGAGCACCATCGGTTCATCCTTGGCTATATGGCTGTGCTGGACAAAGAGGTCAATGGTTATTATTCTAATAAAAAATAAATCAAATGTTAAAGATGCGGGTCATCTGGCAACCGTTCTACCCGGACATAAGGATCAGGACCATCAGTGGCGTAGAAAGTGGAAGGCCATCAAATCTGGTCTTCAGGCATTCGCCACACCCACCTGAGGAGAAGTAAGAGACATTTTAGCCCCCCTCCGTTCCCTTTAGCCCCTCCATTGGCAAAATCCTGGCCACACCGCTGAGGTCCGTCAGGACGAATCCGGAGCCAATCCTCGCTGTTCAACGTGCATCTCACAGGTCCGTTAAATGCGCAATACACCCAGATAACACGTTGGCCCAATGTCGGGTAAAGGTGGGAAAGGTTGGCGTAACGTGATGCTGGAGAACGATGTTGGGCCAATATCCCCACGTTGAGTACTGCAGAACTCTAGGTGGAGATCTTCAACACCTTGAAGTTCTCCATCAGACCACTAAATGGATGTGTGGGTCTCGCTTTTCGCACAGTACATAAAAGTTCCCTTCCCTCTTTCCTGGAATTGTTCCTCGCATAATTTTTTAGTACTTCGCTATATGTCTCGTCTAGTCCCATTATAGGAATCAATAAACGCGAATACTTCATCATTTGTTATCCAAATATTCAAGACAGATTCACGGAGCCCAGGCCATAAACAAGCGCATATTCCTGATGAGAACCCTTTGAAAAGCAAGAGAATTCAGGAGAGGGAGTCTAGAAAATTAAGGAACGTTCTTAAACTTAATTCGTTTTTTCTCATCTTTTTTTTCCCATCAGAATGAGGAAATCAGGGGCTGATATCGCGGATGCCTCACAGAACCGTATGAGGTGGTCCTTCCTCTGACATGTACTGTTATCAGTAGTCAGTGGTAGATCAACGTCTATACTGACCTGTGTCTCCTTCCTATCCAGGGCATATAAACATGTCCATGGCAGGTTGTTGAAAATAGTACAGGCTCTGTACTGCAGATGGGAATATCTCCACTGGGTAATGGATACGGTGCATGGTACGAAATGATGATTGCCAATATCGCGCAAAAACTAGATACTTGGGTTAATGGGTTAAATTTTGCGCTCTAACTTCCTCCCAACGTGTCCTGACGGAGGACCACATTGGGCCAACGTGAGTCCCACGAAAAATGTTATCTGGGACACCTACGTGACGCAAGAGGCTCGAGAGTCCATGTGTGCGCCTTTACACTGGAACTTGGTCTGACTATCGCTCTCATCTCAACCCCACCACCCCTATCTAGCCTCTATCTCAGGGGCGTCATTTCGGGGAAAGTAGGAAGAGCAAATCCTACACATAGCCTTTTGACCTTTGTCCGAGCCTCCTGCCCCCCCCCCCCCCCCCCCCTCCTTGTAGACGTGGCGTCTCCATTCTAACTCCCCTGTAAACTCCCCAGAAGATTCAATTTTGCTCTCTTGCGTTCTGCAACCAGTACCTGTCTCCCACGGTAGACCGGTTTTCGGTATATCTGGAAATGACGTCAAAGTCGACCTCTTGGTTTGTTCAATGTTGCTCATTTGAAGGAGTAAGAGGAGTGTGCACCATCCGAATCGCGACTGCGCTAGAAGGATGGCAACCCTGCTGCTGCTCTCCGTATCTGGGCGTAGCGCGCGATTAGCCCATATAGATTTTAATAATAGGCTTACGAACTTACGAATGAAGTACGCTTTCCCTAGGTAAGCAGTGGGCTTGGAAATGCAGACATAGTCCGACTGGTGACTGGATTCTGGTAAAATTCTCGTTTGCCACTCTCCAAGGTTGGCGGTGGAGGTGACTTGCAAGGAACTTTTAAATGTCAGGCTTATTGCCGTAACTTCGATCAACTCTTGGGCATGTAAGCCTATTGCCTTGGCTTTGCTTAAATATTGACCAGAATTTTTACGAAAGAGGATGGATGGTCAATGGTGAGGGTATTTCTGAGATTGCTTGGTCAAGGGCGACGGATTGGTTGACCCATTAAGAGATTATCTGAGATTTAGACTTATGGTAGCCTAACTTTGGGCCTAAGCTAACTACAATGTTTTCTTTCGAGTCAGACATTTTTTCACTTGACACTCGTGCTTGAGGGACGCCCCTTGCATGAGTGTCCGAGTCAAGTGATTAACACTCTAAGGTCATAGTGTCCACCGCTTTACTTGCCAAAATAAACTGAAACTGAAGGCTATATTAGGCATTAACCTATGTATTCATACAGGTTTATTTAGTAGGCGACATTGTTACAGATTAACTTTTATGCCCTTTCGCATGTGTTCCATGTTTTTCTGTGGTCTCTATTGTTGGATTGTGATGTAGCAGTTCCTTCACTCAGTAAGTGGTGGTTACTCCATGAGCTTGACTTTTCCCTATACCCCATCATCAACAATGGTGATTGCAATTACTAGGTATCCCTTGAGCACTATTTGCAACACCATCAGGGAATAGGATAGAAGAATAAAAGTCATTCCAGAGGTACTGTAAACTTAGGCAAATAGGCTATATAAATTATATTGCCCTATTGCTAAAGTGACTGGTTATATCCCAAGAAACCCGTCAACTGCCCCCACTCCCCCCATTATTGGGGTCCTTGTTCATGTTGAGTCCATATTGTTGGGCTTGCATTACTCAGTTGAAGGGAACGAAAGCCTGCTTTTTTATATATGACAGCAAGATTGAACCCATAAACATTTGGCACTGATGTTCAAGTTGTGATCCATTGAACTGTCCACTTTTGCTCTCAAAGGAGGGGCAAGTGATGTAGATGTGAAGAGAGTAGTTGCTATGGTGCCCTGGACATAACCAGATTCAGGATAGCCCCTGTTATAGATACTCTTCAATTTAAGTTAGGCTTATGGAAGTGACAAGCCTGAGTAATATCAGGGCCTCAAGCATTCCAAGGTAGTAAATGCACACTGACAACAAGGAGCTGGGGGAATGGACTCTTTATGCTTGCTCTGTTATAGCATTATTTCCCAAACCATTCCCATCCCACTTCTTCATCTTGGTCCAGGGATTCCTAGGTTGGATGCCAAAAAAATTGAAGCAAGAATAATCATAAAAGACCAGTTAAAATGCTGAGTCTCTGAATGCATTCCTGTTCATACAATCTTTGATTATATTTAGAATCAGCCGTTGAGCCAGCCCGTGAATCAGCCATCTTGCATGGAAATGTTTCCACTTCTGCTAGATTTTTGCAAGTTGTCAAATATACTATGACATGGATGACAAGACTGTAAAAACTAAAGGGGTTCTGGATATGTGACATGTCAATAAACCAAATTGAGTGTGTTTCTCCAGATGAAAACTCCTTTGTTTGTCAATGAGAGTTATTACAGAAGAGGTAGGCATTTAGGCCTATCATTCACTTGCTTGCCTGAATGTCTGTATTTCAATGAAAGGTGTAAGGATGGCATTGGTCATACTGGTATTCAGTAATGACAGTTATTCCTTGTCATTAGATAGACATACCACCAAATGTGTTACGCTTGTTCAAAGGTTGTAGTTGACTTTGAGATGAATTGAAACTTTTGCTACAGATGCTAAATATCAACTCTTCTTACATATGTAATTGTTACATTGGTATAATATTTAATTTTTATATAAATGGTAATGTGTAATTATAAGTTTACGAATGCACTGGTCTTGGTAGGTACAGTCAGCCCTCAATATAGCACCACCTAATATACTGCCACTCTTGCTTAGCACCAACTCTTTCCTGAGAATGAATCTTCCCCCTAGGCTTATCATTGGCACTCCCCTGTTGTAGTGCCATCCTCACAAGCTACCATCCGCCAATACCTTGCCTTGCACAAACATGCCATATTCAATGTAAGTTGTACTCGACATAGTGCCAAGTAGCATACCATACCAGCTACAATAATCATATCATGCACTATTGTGGTGGAAAAAAATGACATACTGTCAGCCTTTCCTTTTGATCGTTAATAAGATTGAGAGATGACTTAGCTCTGGTACAGATACCAGGTATTAGAGGTGGGTGTAAGGGGTCTCTTAATCTGTCCTAATACTGCCTCTCCTTTCTTTTGGAGAATGGAAACGCCTCTTTCAGTTCAAAGTTTCTCCAGGCGATGCTCAAGTGTGTTCATTATCCAGTTAAGGGGGAAAGGACAGTTATAAGTGTGAGGGAAAAAGTGGTAGTGCATCGTTTCAAGGAGGCACATGCAGCTGAAAGTCAGCAAAACATTGCGTATTATTTTTCAAAGCTGTGTGGTTTTTGTTCTCCATTGGCAGCACGGATGAATTAAAGTGTTTTTATTTTTGCTAAATCTATTTTACATTTGAGTTATTTAAGAAATTTTCCGTTTAAAGCCACGCTTTTTGATATAGTGCCACCCTCAATATAGCACCAAAATCGCTAAAGACCAACAGTGGGGGTATATCAAGAGTTGACTATATGTTTAGAGTTTAGGATCTTTGAAGTCTGGATAACAAGTAACTATTTCATTATGGTTTCACTTCTAGTTTTGAGTATTTTCATAACTTCAATATCAATTAGGTTTCTCATGCAGGATGGATTCCATGGATTTAGTGGGCATGGAAACAGAACAACTCCCAGTGACAGTCTTGACAGACTGGGAGAGCCACAACCAGTTGATGGCACGCACTGAAATGGAATTTGATGCTAAAGCCAATGATATGAAGAAAACTGGCCTTACTTTGGTCTCTCAGCGGTGTATCCAGCTCAAAGAAAGTAAGCTGAAGCAGTAACTTTTAGGGTAGTATATGGTTCTGAAAGGTATTTGTGATTTCCTTGGTTTTATGATTGGACTCTGTTACAAGGAGTGCAAAAAGCAAGGAATGTGCTGGCAGACAGGGAGATGCAAAAGAAGACAAAGAAGTTGCCAGCAAGACAGGCAATAGAAGTCTTTCAACAAGAGGCCAAATCCTTACTTCAGGAGAAGAAAGGAAGAGAAGACTCTTTGAATGACATCTTAAGCATTAAGGAAAAACTTCTCAACAGGCTTCAGCATGTCAGAGGCCTCCTCCAGGCCCATCAGAAAGGCAGGCCTATTTCTGTATACTCTTCCCCTGGAGCAGGGTATGAGACTAACAGGAAGAGGATATTTTATTGCTTTCTTTATGTGTTAGGGGCTCCATAGATGATCATGGAAATCTTAAATTATCAGTGGAGGACCAATGAATCATACAGTTATTATTCTCTTTGCTGTATTTTGAAAAAGGTTTAGGACATTGTGATACAAGTGATTTTGTACATGTGTCTGTCTTCATCTCTGATTGCTGACATGGAATCCCTGATGTAGATGTGGAAGAGAAGGAGAATAAGTTGGAAGTGGAGAAGATGGGAGCAGAAGCATTCCTGACAACTGTTAACAAGGCAATGCAACTATCTGTAGTAGAAGAAGAGGGTGATGCTGTGAGGATCTCCTTCCCCTCTTCAAAATACCTCATATTCAAGGTTGAAGAAAATGCATATCGATGTGAGCTGAACTTCCCTAATTTTTCTATTTGGACTAGAGGTGCAAAAGCATAGAAGCTTTGCTTGTAATTTAAACAGTAACCAGTATTTTTTGTATCTCTGTGAGAAATCTTCATAAAACAAGTAAGATTACATTTGTAAATGTGAACTTTTTTCCTTTACGATGTAATGGAAAATCCTAATGGGTTTCCTGGTCAAGGGCTTCACTCCTAAACAGGAATTATGTGCAAGGATCATGTAGCTATTCTCCCTACTGCAATGTTTTTCACTCAAGTCAGACTTCTTTTACTTGACTTCTAACACTTGTACGTATGTGTCTGACTTAGTCATCACATTCAAACGTAATGACTGAGAAATTTTGAAAAAAACTTTCAAAGGTTTAAAGTCACCTCACTCTAGGGCAGTGGTTCTCAACCTTTCTTATGTCATGACCCATCCAGCCCTCTTCCCATATTTATGTAGCCCACACATTTAGCACCTTCCAGAAATAATGCAGCAATGTGACTATTAAAAAAAGGGTATTAATTTGTTTTCATACAAAAATTATGCTTTCAAAATGGGCACAGGCAATTCTTTCATTATTCCTTTCCATTGGATAATTATAATCTCAATTGCCACTTCAATTTTGAAGGCTTCTTGTATGCATTGGCCAGCAGTTATTCACAAACTTTGCATTCTGCTTTCATATCTTCTGACCCCTTGAAGCCATACTTGAAGGTATGAATCATTATACTTCCAGATTGGTGCTAGTTTTGACTTTTTTTTACACCAATAGTTTCACACTTTCACTTGATTTTATCTAGAAATTATTAATCTGCTTTTGAATGTTAAGCCTAAACAAGTAACTAAAGGAAAGTATTGATGAGATAAACTTTGTAACCCACCCCCTCAAAAAATATAAAGGAAGGGAAATATATTCATTCAGGTAGAAAAACGAAATAGCGAAAATGAACTTCAACCTCTGCCCATAAAAAAAACAGCTTCACCTCTAACTATTCAATACATCACAGATAAATGAGAGGGAATGCTGGAACTGATTAGGAGTTGTTGTTCCTTGAAAGTTAAGTTCATGTAATCGTGCTTTATAGTTTGGTTTAGTACCATGATTGCTCTCAGTCTTCTTTAATCTCTCTTTTACTTTGAATTCATTTAATTCTTTTTCAACTCACTTGGAAGACCATCACAACCCACCAGTTGAGAACCACTGCTCTCAGGTAACTTTGTTAGCCAGTAGTGCTTACAGCCTTTTAAAATATCTACTGTTTCATGTGTACTTGAGAGGAAAGAAAGAATTTCATTTCATCCATGATCATGTTCATGCCTGGATGTCCTTTCTTTTTTTCTCTGGCATAGTACTCAAGAGCGACCCTCCTCTACCGAATCTGCTTCTTGCTGAGGAGAAACTCAATGAAACTCAGGATCTCACAGGTTTTCTCTTTGCTTTTCACAAGTTTTCTTCCAAGTGATGATCTTGCCCACACTATTGTATCCTATGTTACTAATGCAACATCTCTTCCTTTTTTATATATGCTTTTATGAAAGAGGATTTTCTTTCTGCTGGCTGGATTCCTTGTTTCATTCATTCATTCTCATTGCTGTTTATCCCAAGTTAATGGGACCATGACTTAAGCAAGCAAAAGAGCATCCTGTAATGTTCCTGATCTTGGACAACTGACTCAAGCTCACCTGGTTAAGTCTTGAGTGACAAAGTTTTGTGATATAGTCTGTCCACCTTGAATGAGGCCTACCAACTGGCTTCTACTGGTCATTTTGGATTCAAAGACTCTTGGGGGTACTGTGGGAGCACAACTGTATAATTACACTGAAGTACAGTCATATGATAGCCTAACAAGCCTGATAATGTGTTGTAGCAGGGAGGTGGAAGTCCTGGGTTACTTCTTCCACAAGGGGGTTTGTTCCAGCCATCAGAAGGACCAATGTATTTCGAGCATTTCATAGCAACCCCAGAACTCTGAGATATGTAGATTTTATTTTATTCATGCTATGCAGGTTAGCTGCTGACAGCTGTTCCCAAAAGGATGAGATAGTATATGTTATTGGCAGATCTTTATCAGTTTCAAAGCTGCTCTGAGGGAGAGTTTTTGAATATTTTTTATTATATGGCACAGGAACATTTTTGTACCTTCACCTTAATATGTTTAATGAAGCAGCCTGTTGTTTGAAAAATCACTCCCAGGTATTCGTAGGAATTAGTGATTTCCAATCTAATGGCAATTAATAAGGTAATTTCCTCATATTCATTACCGAGCCAAGTCAGCCAAAACGATCATATGAATGACCTGTGGTAATTAGCTCCCAATACCAGTCCGACTGTCGGATGCCTTGTTCCTATGGATACTTTGGATACTATGAATATGGATACCCCTGTGCTGGAAGGTGCTATTGGTGAAGCCATAGTCAACACAAAAGTCAAGTTACTTTCTGTCATTATCTCGGTGACTCAGTGGTTAGAGCAACGGATCTTAAACTTTATATGTTTGTGCCCCCCTCCCCTTTTTTCATCTATAAATTATTATTCATAAAATAATTTTTAACATGTTATTGGGGGTGTAAGTTTGTCCTGTATCGTGTAGTCTCATCCTTGATGAAGGAATACACAAATCTCCAAATTGAATACTCAAAAAAAGTTAAAGATAAAATTTTAATGAAAAGTTTAACATGTGGTCCGCCTGGACCCCCCTCACTTATGGAAGGGTTAAAAACTAAAAACCCCCATGACCTGCTGCGTCCCCCCTGGGACCATCTCGCACCCTGCAGTTTGAGAACCACTGGGTTAGGGTCTCGGGCCAGGGGATGGTCCAAGTTGGAATCATGAACCGATGGTTCCCCCTACTGCTTTCGGATTCGACTTGTTCTCCCTGGCAGCCCGATGCGCAGTTATGGAAGGTCTAGTGGCGTCGAAGTTCCCATCACATTCACCCGGCCTATGAAAGCGGGATACAGAGTGAAGGAGAGCGTGGGAAGGTGTGGCAATGCCGTTAGAGACATCGCGATAAGTATCGCCCTTGAGGTGAAAGACCCTTATGTCTTGTGTCCGTCCTAGTGCACGTTAAAAAAAAATTACAGCATTTCTCAGATTTCTTCAGGCGTCTTAGATTTTGCTGTTCATTTAGTTATTTTTAAATGCAAAAAAAATTATGGGATCCCCGTCAGTGCGACTTTTCCAAAACGACCCATCATCACACTCCACGTAACTTCATCATTCCCAACTCACGACTAAAAGTCTCCCATGAGCAAAACGAGATCGCCACTCGGAATTCCTTGTTAGGGCCGCATCCTCCTCGGAGAACTCATCGAACTCGTTGTTCGTCCCGTAGATCTGAACGGCAGCGAAGACCACGACTACCCTGGAATCTGAAGCGGATCAAAGCGACTCGCTCATAGATCGGTTTCATTCCATCACGCTGTCAGCCTGCCGGGGGCTGAAGAATAACCCCACTCTCGTCTGGACAAACACTATTGGGGTCTACTCCGTTCTAGTATAGCCTGGGTTCCCAAACCTTTTTACCTGTGACCCAAAATTCCAAATTATATTTGCTTCGCGACCCAAATGGTACCGGTACCTACGTGCACCACTATATATCAATAATGAATGCTATTCATACCTTAATTGGCTTAATATACATTAATAATTAATTGATTAATATTTTTTAAATTTGAAGATGATTAACAACAAGGTTGCTCAATTTCTTCAAATTTCATTTCATGAACAATTGAGAAAAGTTTCAAATTTATTGAAGAAACGAAAAAATTGGTACTTCAAATTAACAAACATTTATGTCAATATTTCTCAGCTAATTCTTAATTAGCTGATTTTTACAGCCGTAATGCAATCTCCTCGTTAAGTTCATTGACTTCCATGATACTGTTGCACCTTCTCGATCAGCTGATCCAGTCTTGGGCTGATGTTGATGGAGAGAGCAGAGCGCAGATCATGATGTGGCTCAATTCAATTTCTTGGCGTGGTCTTGAGCGCCACAAGGGTTGAGAATCCAGATTCACACAGATATGTGGTTGGGAAAGGCAGCAGAGCCTTTTCAGCTTCACGGCTAAGAATTTGCTTGTCTTTCAGTTGTGCCCAAAAACGTGAACACTCCAATTGAGTAAATTTTTGTCTTTGAACTTGATTTTCCAGGTGATCAATCAGTTCTTGAAATTAAGGTATGTCATCACCAAATTCAGTAAAGTCCAAATCAAAGGGTTTCTGACCCAGCTGTGCTTTTGAAGCTCGACATTTTCTGGCATATATCCATCCATCTCAACCTGAAGCTTTTTCAAGTGTCCCTGAAAAATGTTTTCCAAGTCAGTCAGACAAACTTTAGACTGGTCTTCCAGAAAGGCATTCAGCTCTGGGAATGCTGCTGGAATCTTGCCCTTGGTCATTTTTTCACTCCAAAGTCTGAGTTTTTTCTTGAAGGATGACATTTTTTCACCAATATCGACCATGGTTTAGTTGCGACCCTGCATATCTGTGACGATTGCAATGACATCCTGGAGAACTGAATGTAGATCTGGCTGCATTTCTTGGGTTACTAGATTTTCTCGATGCAGAAAGCAATGAATCACAATGACACTGGGATTGACCTTCTTAACTCGAGCATTTTGTGCTCGAGTTAAGAAGTCAATCCCAGTCTGCTTCCCATCATGGCTGGGGCTCCATTTGTGCGGACAGCCAAGCAATTTGTCCACTCGAGGGTATGGTTTTTGAAAAAATGTCAACCAGGCTGAAGATGTCCTCGCCTGTTATTGTGATTGACAATGAATTGCAGAAGAGGAATTGTTCAAGAATGTCATCTTCACCCTTGTACCGTACAAAAACCATGAGCTGGGGATCCCCCCAATATCAACAGATTCATCTGTTTGGAGGGACCTCCATGCACTGTACACACCATGCGCGAGATAAGCCTGATGTTTCCTTGAGCTCAGTGAAGTCAAATTAAAAAAAATTCTGGCTCATATACATATTGAAATGAACCACTACGCTTCTGAGCCATTTTGAAAACCTGGTGCAAGGAGAAAAGTCATTAAAATTAGCTATTAGTGATTTGAAACATCAGCAAGCAGGGTTTATAAATTTTCAGTTGTATTAGAAAAAATGAAATGATCAAGTTAAAATAATTGTGAGAGCTCTTGTTGCGGCATGCACTGAGTGACTGAGGAATGAACAATAGCAGAGCAGTTCTGCTTATCGAGCTGACGATCAGACAAGTTGTAAATATATATATACAGTACATTGATACCACTTTTTTTTCTCATGCTGGTGAGCTGTTGAATAAGGCACAGCCTTGAAAGCTATCAATGTTGCTGAATAACATGACAACTTGCTCTCGCCATCAGTTGACTCATTTTATCAGAATACTGTACCATAGTGGCAACTAGGTTTATTGAAAGGAAGTCTGTGCTTTGTTTCCCAGAAAAAAAAAGTCGAATATTTTATTTTTTGGCACTGAAGGTCTTCCGCGACCCATCAGAAGGACCTCGCGACCCTGGGTTTGGGAACCCAGGTAGTAGTATAGGGTCCACCCGCGATCTAGGGCGATGGAACCCCCACCTTGAACCTCCGTTGACGGCTGACTATCTCGTCGTCACATCGTAGCCTCTTCCACGAGTTCCGGCTCTTCACACGTCGGCACGTTCTAAATCCTGATATCCAGTCTGCCACCTCGGTCGTTCAACATTTGTTCTGCTACTGAGGGGGCATCGTGGCGAAAAGACGGTCTGGCCGATGGCAAGACGACCGATAAGGCCTGGATTTGGCAGAAGGGGGTCCGACACAGACATCGGATTGCCCGGCCTCGGTGGCCAATTCATTGGTAGTAGCGCACAGGCACGTTGACTACCCTGATCCCGGTTAACCTGGACGATGAACGATCCAATATGGAACTCCTGAGACGAACTCATCACGCTTGCTATGGTTCGTGTTGGTCACCCTCAACAGAAGCCCTTGCATCATGGTATCAGCTGGGATACTTCGGTCTTCCGAATCACTAGACTCCACCGATTCAGTTGCTGAGAAATTCCTGACATTTGACTCCTAAGGGTAGCGTGGAGGGAAAAAGTGTGTGGGGGAGGGCACGGAAACTCTGGAATACTGTTATCGTGCATTTCTGGGTCTTTTCCTTCTTTTTTTTTCCCTTCTTTTCTTGATAAGTGGGGGAGGGGGGCAACGCGCCCCCTCGACGTTATGCCGCTAATTTGACTGATAATAACTAGTTATTCCTACTTTATGACCTCCGACCGATCTGGTATAATGCTCAGCAGAGACAGGAGATTTCTGCACGTAGAGCCCCCTTCGGCACGAAAAGCTGCAGTGGGAATCGCAGAAGGACCACTCCAGTTCACGTACATACAGTCAATAAGGACATGGAGTGGCCCACTCACTTGTGAAGAGGGTACCACTCCAGATCTGAGGAGGAAGGTGAGAGAGGGGGACGAAGTCATGCCAAGGTAAGAGAAATCTCAGGTTTCCTAGCGATGCCGTTCCTGCGATCTCGGCAAGCCCACTCCTTGCAGTGGCGTGCCCAAGGGGGGGGGGAGGTTTGGGGGTCATAATCCCCCCCCCCCCCTCCTTGGTGTCAATTTTACACGTTCGATTCTCACAAATTTTTTTTATTTTGCCACAAATACAGGGTGGGTAATCAGGTTTCATATGGCGACCCCCCCCCCCCCCATTCGGATTTCCTGGGCACGCCACTGACTCCTTGTACATACATACGTGATACATACATTTTCGAGACCGCTTATCCCAACTTAAATGAGGTCGCGAAGCTCCAAGTATACACTGTATTTGAGGAGGAAGAACTCCACCCTTGACCGGCTGAGCCGAGGGGTGGCAAGCAGTGGCGGATCCAGAGGGGGAGAAGGAGGACCCCCTCTATGACTAGGTTCGCATTCTATTTTTTTTTCTTTATAAAAAGCGCATATATAAATTTGTATTGGCTGTTGTGAAATGGATATTCAGGTTTTTACCCTTCAGACGAAAAATGAAAAAGGCATCAGGACGGATTGTGGTGGTAGGTGGGGGAAAACTAGAGAACCGCTCCCCCCCTCCGCCCATGAAAAATTTCTGTATCCGCCACTGGTGACAAGTGATGCTGCTCTCGTGCCAGCTTACGTTTGTAATACTTTTGGGCGTCGCCTCTCTGCGTACTCTATGGCATATGCCCACGAAGTCCCACCCTCCGATATCTTTGTTCTCGTCGTAATCCAACAGAGCGCCAAATTTCATTGGATTCTAAGACGTTAGAGCAGTAGACCATTGGCACACGTGCGGTGGAATGATCCACCTGTAAATTGTGTAACAAGGTGTCGTGCGGTTTAGAAAAGTGTACCGACGAAAGCCTAGCTCATATTCCAACACCAGTGGCCTATTCCGCAGATTTTACAAGCAACAACCAATAAGTACAGTATTTACAAGGGTCGTGTAAACCCTAACTCCCTAAACTTCCCTGTGCCACTGTTAACGTTGTTTCCTTTAGGGAACATCGTAGGTATTTTAGGAAATCCCCATTGCCCAGTGATTCTTCTCCCATCATAAAATAAATTAATATGATACTTTTTTTTATTGGGAACGTGGTGCAGCTAGGGGTTAAAACTACAGTATAATAACTACATGGATTCCCTGTAAGACGACAGTGGGTTGAGCTAAAGTATGAGAAATATTTATCTGTGAAAGCCACGAAGGGAAAGGATACTCAACTTTTCTTGAAAGTGGAACTGATACCCAGTGGTACGTTGATACCCTGCTTGGTAAAAAAAAAAGTCGAACTTTTGGCATCTTACAAGGTTTGCCGAAACCTTTCATTGTTAGGCTTGGTGAACTTTGTGAACCGTGTTGTTAGTAAGGCAACAATGGGTTATATTGAGCGTTCTGTTCCATCGCGTCTAATATTGAAAGGAGATTCCTCCTCTGGCTGTTGAGTGGTACGAATTAGTCCCTAGAAGCTTATGGTCATCTCCCATTTATCCAAACGCCAGGAATGCTGCGCTCTCGTTAGTTCGGACAATAGAAATGGTCCCAGCAGAAATCCCATAGAACGTCTATTCAGATTCTTCGTTTGAACCGAACGCCGTTATTCTATAGCTCCCCTTGATAAGGACGAGATCTCAAGTCACCACAGAGCCATTCCTCCAATAAGGACTTGCTTGAAATGGAATACGACAGGGAAAAATGGCGCTCACCACCACCTAGGAAAAAGAAAGACGGAAAAAATCGTAATTTCCTTCGAACTCCCCTCTCTCCTGGAATCGGCTAATACGGACCATTCTCGTCGAGAATTGTCACTCTCCGCCATGACCTCCTTCTCCCCCGTCAATCATCCATCCGTCATATCAACCTCCCTTCCAGTGGCATATTTTACGGGGAAGGGAGGCAGCCGTTCCCTCTGGCAGTAATTTCTTCCCGATATCGTTCTGGTGGAGTTTGGCACCCTCACACTGCTGCCCTGCCTTCTGACTTTTCAGTCAAAATACGCCACTGTTCCCTTCCGCCGTGAATATTAGTTCTCAGTGCTAATCCAACAAGGGAGGAGAAGTTCCAAGTTTCGAGCTTTTAGACATGGGTAAAATAAAATTTAAGGTAGCGCAATTTAAATAGTTCACCATCGACAGCGTCAAAGAAGCCTCGCGACCAACTTGAACAGGATTCTGTCTGTCCGGACTAATGTCCCTCTTCCGCAGAAACGAATCCGAAGCGCACGCTCTCAGGATATTCATGCTAGAGTTTCAAGAGTTCTTGAATCTAAACAAACAAAAAATTAATGATGTCTTTGTAGCGACGGGTTGAAAGAACTGCCAGTGATTCTGATTCGTATGAGGAAAATATTAATAAAGGCATCTCAAGTCTCCATAAAAAAATGAGTGGTCACTCAAACATGTTTTGATTATTCAGACAAAATCACCAGATCAGATAAATTAAAGTTGACAGCTTCAGGAACACTCACATTGAGGGTGAGTCATTAACCATTTTATTGAGAAAGAAAATCTGACACAATTTGGGTATGAGTGACAGAGGAAGAGAGAAAAAGAAATGGAATGTTGACAAACACAGTCAGTGATTGTTTCCTTCATGACTCACAACCAAGCAAACAATACATCCAAAAGCAACAAAGACTGCAGTATTCCATATTATCAGGAGAGGCTTGTCGCATCTTAAGTATGGCACTCGGACATCCCACTTCTACGGCACAGAAACGAGATCTCAGCAGCAGCAATTTTCACAAAGCAATAGCTTCTCCCCTGCTGACTTGTAACTACAGCTCTTGATGGCTTCCTCTTTGGCTGTACAAGTTTGTGTGCAGATCTAGCTTTGGCAAAGAAAAAATACGCACCACAAAGCAGCTACTTGTCTCTGACCACCAGGCCAATTACTACAGTGCTCCCTAGAATCAAAAAGGTCTCAATCAGAGGAAGGATTGGAAGCAAATAAAAAAAATTCAGGGAAGGGTTCTTAAATGCAGCATGCACTGTAAGAGTGCTGCACTGCCAGCATGAACAGCTGCAATTAAAAATGCACCCCAAGTCAATGAAATGGATTGAGATTCACAGAAAGGCAGAGGAAGGATGGAATCTGGGGTGAAGGGACACGACACATGATACTCATGGAGTGTGGAGACACATGTGAGAGACAATCAGTACCAGCAGCATATCTCTCTGTTCTTTTCTACATTTGATATGAGATAAACACTTTGTTGCTGTGATTGTGCACACACATAAAACAGAGGGTCAGACATTGATAGAGAGAGCTGCCTGGATTTGGAATGAAGAGAAAAAACCAAGAAGGAAACATGGAAAAAGTTCCCATTTAGATATTCAAGGGACCGTGATCCCATTCAAGAAACTCATGATGAAGTCGTTGCTTTCTCCTCTCGCCATTCACTTCATCATCTTCCTCTTCATCCTCAGCTCTACCATCGCGATCCTCATCGTCATCCTCCCGTCCGCTTCCACTGTCGTAGGAATCCGAGTCAGACTCAGTCTCTGGACTCTCCAGTCCCTTTGCATCCTGCATTGGAAACAGACATTCCTCAATGGAAATGCTTGCAATCTAATCCCTGGTTATCATCTTCAAGAACATGCCAAATGATATTAAATTTGTAAATTTTTTATTCCAATTCCACAATTGATCAAAATCATTCCAGAACCCCACATTGCTTGAGAAATAGTGGAGAACACCAAGCATATCAATGACACTAACTTTTGAAAACGATTTAAAAAAAAAAAGCTCTTCTTTATATTCTGTTTCAACATCATATTACCATTTCATCTAAAATATGCAGAGTAGGAGAACTTTTTAAACAGACACCCTTTGAGGCAAATGCACTAGAACAAACTACACCTTCTTTTCTCACCTGTAGTTCATTAAACTAGAATTTCTTTACTAATTCAATAATGAATTAGTGTCTACTTCCATTTTTTCAGAGTTTTCAATTTTGTGAACATTAGCATAGATGGAGGGAGTGAGAGAAAATAGTTCTGCTAGCTAAAGCTATTCCCCATGTAGAATTCTACATCCACCTACAGTAGGGTGACCAGATCGTCCCAGTAAAATCGGGACAGGTCGTTTTCTCTGGAACAGCCCTGCTTGGAAAACTATCCAGCGATTTTTCCTTTCAGCGCCACTCATTTGTAGCAAACAGCTCATCTGCCTATTGTCAACCGTAAATGGAGGGAAAATGTCTAGGATTTTGCATTTAAAAAAATATGGTCACCCTAACCAACAGCCCCCAAAGACACCAGTTAAATCTTCTTAGATTTTCAACTTTTTACCATTTCTGTCCAAAGAAATTATGCTTTCACTGTTATTTGACTTTTAAATAATACTTTACATTCCACAAGTGTTCATATTCTTGAAACTCACATCCATGGGGTTGACAGTGATGTTGAGGGAGGAGTCATCCCAGGCCATGTCCTGGTCAAGGGCTTCATGCTGAGACTTCTTTGTTGCAGCCCTGATGCGAATCACACCAAACACTACGATGGACACCAGGGCACCCAAGCATACCACAGCTATGATCACCACTGTGCTGCTCCCTGGAAATAATATGATCATTTCATCATGATTGAGCTATCTGAACATTTAGTAACAACATTTTACTTGGTATCATGCACAGCATCAGAAAAAGGTAATTTCCTTCTAAAAAAAAAAAAAAAAAAAAAAAAAAAAAAATAAAACATAAAAAAAAAAAAAAAAAAAAAAAAAAAAAAAAAAAAAAAGGCAATTCTAGATCAGGGATGCCCAAAGTGGGTGTTAACTGAGGCACTTCTTGTGCTGGATGTGGACTGTGGGCAGTATATTGGGCACCTCTGATGTACATGTACTACATGTACGAGGTACATGTAGCTCATGTACTACAAGACCTTCAATCACTCTTTCAAATGGAATATATTATGAATCAAATTCCTTCCATTCCTTCCTGCTCATTGTTTGTATCATTTCTTGAACATTTTCAGAAAACAGGGTATCTTCTCCAGCAAACTTGGTTTGAAAGGGCTTTCCTAGCTAACATGGCTCAAGCTTACCATTAGTAGGCTGGAGAACATAGGATGTCTCAGGATGGTGGAACTCAGCCTCTTGAGGGCTTGACTGGGAATGTGCCACCCAAGGCTTCCTCTCCTTCTGTGGTTCTTTCTGCTTCACCTGAACAAAGGAATTATGTTTGAAATTTAAAAGGAAGCACTGAAAAAAGAGCAATCACAAGGTCAGTCCAGGATGTGAAACACTCACCTCATTGGTAGCAGGTGACTCAGGGGTTGGGTGAATGATGCTCAACTGGAAAACCAACAACACAAAACTTATATGAATGTTGCCTAATATCACACATTCATCATTTCCCTTGCAGCATAGTGTCAGTGGTATTCTAAAAGCCATTGGTTAGCATCACCATATACAGACATAAGCATTATCATCTTCACCATTCATGGAATTCTGATGTTCAACTTCTACTTTTTGGATTCTTTGAACATTTCTTGCATGACCACAAGCAGGATAAATGAAAGGCTGAACATGAAAATGAACACTGAAATCCCTGTATGAGATTCACCTTAGAAGCATCAATAGTAGATATAATGAAAATTCTAAAGCTTTTTTTCTGCTTGTGACAGCAGTTCTAATAATTTTTCTGCTAAGGAAGTTGCAGGATGTGACTTACCACTTGCAGGAAGTCATTGCTGACAAAGCGAGAGTCCAAATCCATGCAAGAAACCTGGAACTGCCTGTCAAGGTAGTATGCAGGCTTCGAGTTCACATACTGCATTCCCCTCAACACCTGGAAGGACAATGCAATATCCACATCATTGTAGTGACAGTGAAATTTTACAGTAGGGGAATTTTAGGTTTTAAGGAAACTCACATCCCGGTAGTGGAGAAGAGGTGCAATCCCAGACAGTGTCACAGCACTGTCAGATGTGTCAATATGTATGTTGAGTTTCTCCAGGAGATCATGGGGGGGCTCAAGATGCTCTTGATCACTGACCATTGGGGGATTCAAGTGAATGGTGCATGTTTCCAATGTGTCCTCCATTGCAGACTCTGGCTCACCTAGATGATTCACACAAGCCATCATAAAACCCAGAACACAGCATATCTGACTGTATGTTAAAAAAAGCAACAATAATGGTTACTTTAATCCTTATAAAGAAAATTATTTTGTGAAATGTGTCAGTCTGGATAAGAAAAGCTTTTTCCTGGAAGACACATAAAAAACAAGAATGATAGACAGCTATGGAAGACTTTTAATCATGGGGTTCACTTTTCACCAAGTAAAGCTTAATACTCCAAAACATACCAGTTAGGTCCACCCAAAAAACATCCATGGCCATCTGGTAACTCAGGTAAAATTATTTATTGCTGGTATCCAGTAACCACACAAGGGGGTAAAAGTTGAGATACATACCATTTCGCCAGATGTCTTCCCCATCAATGGCTGAGGAGAGCTGTATGTCTGGGAATGCAGGGACACCAGTGCGGATGTCCTCATATGAGTAATGGGCAGGAGTGGAGCCACTGATGGTGATGGAATGACGACCCCGAGACAATACCTTTACTCCACTCTGGATGGGATCCATGCTTAAGGTCTCTCCTCCCTTGCACCTGTACCACAGCAAGACAACAAATATTGAAGAATGGATCCCAATATAGTGAGGGATGAAAAGGCACTCAGGAAGGATTCTGACAAGATTTGTGTGGTGATACGGATGGGTCTCAAGCCTGGGGTGGGGTATGCCCTGTCATTGACATAGCCAATGCTTCTAAGCTTTCCATTCATCTCCTCCACATCTCCAGCATCCAGTGAAACCTCATTCAAACCTGTCAACACCGCAAGTAATGTCAAGGGAATTGCTATCAGTATCTCATGCTCCTTCAAGTGAATAGTCATCTCCAAGTTTGAGTTAAACTAAGAAAAATTAGTCTACTGAAAGAATGCATGAAAAGCAGGGAAAATGGTTGGTGTCATACTGTCACATATACCTGGTGGCCCAAAAAAGTGTCCTGCTTTATAAAACCCACTATGGCATTCAAGCAAGTGCTGAAACTACATCCACCTCATGCATGGAAAAGGTACATTTTGTGACTCCACTTGGAATGACTGTCAATTTTTGTCCAGACAACCTGAGTACATGAAACTTTCAGACATTTTGTGATGTATCCAATGTGATGAAAAAAACATCAAAAACCAATTTATCCACAGTGGGTTTTACAAAGCATCAAACAGAGCTTCTTTTTTTTTTTTTGGGGGGGGGGGGGGGATTTTTTTTTTTTTCCCCCTTAGTGAAATTTGATTAAAGTAGGATTCTTACTGCTTCTGTGGGAAAGTTGCAAGAAATATTGTTTTGCTTTGCTATAAGCTACTTCACTCTTGGGCAGGCAGCAACTACTTGGGCATGAAAAACTTCAATTGCATCAGTAGATTGCTAAACCTAGAACCTGTTAGTATAAGTTTTCACATGCCGTCTGGAGAACAAAGTTAAGTAAGGGTCTCACGTGATGAGAGGGTGTTTTGAGAGGGAGAAGAGATTTGTTCTTTGCACTGAGATAGGCAGGTGAGGACTTTGGGATCCTCAACTCTTCCACGGATGACATATAAGTCTCCCAGGTACCCAGTTAGCATGTGTTGGAACCCACTCTCAGAACCTAGTCCAAGACAAAAGGTCAATATAATTTTTACTTTCAGGATAAATACTACATAATTTGATAAAACACATATGTTAGACACAGGAAGCTCAGTCTCACTTTGCCAGCAAGCTCCGATTGTGAATGTTGTCTTGATGCCCTGTGAGGGATGAAGTGGCCAATCATCAATGACCTCTGGCTTCTTCTCCACTTCCTTCCCATCAAGAACAAGCCGCACTTGTGGAAAGGACACCAACAATCCATAGTGATGCCATTCCCCATCACACACCTACAAATAGAAACATCTATGCATATCAGTACTTAGTGAGAAGGCAAGTGTGGCATGATAACGCAATGAGAAACAATTTCATGACAGTGACCTCAGGGATCTTCCAACGCCACTCAGCTGGTCGGAATGTGTTCAGGTCCCCCTCAGAGAAGTCTCTTCGAAGGAGGAAGATGAGCCGACAGTTTCGGATGAACAGGCCATAATGGTGTCTGTTCATCTCTGAAATACAAGATATCGATGTTTTACTCCTCCATTATCTTGAATGGACCTAGCCAAGAGACTTTAGACATACTGTGGTCATCTGCACTGCAGAAGATGTGTTCCTTGTGGTGCTTGTCAACAGTCTGGGGGGTTTTGTGCTTCATCCAGAACCCCACTGTGAACTGATGAGTGAAATTGTGATCCAAGAAGCTCTCTGGCACACGTACTCCATCCTTTTGTCCGTCAAATTTGTACACCTGGTAAAGGAATAGAGCAATGGTGTCTTTGTAACATGAGATAAGCTCAAAAACAAAAACAACAAAAAACAAAAAACAACCAGAAGATAAAGGGAGGAATCCCACAAAAACTTGAAAATCAATGCCCCAGACTTATGGTGCTTTAAGAGATAATTTACTGATTTACTGAGCAAAATTTGTATTTTTGTAAATTTACCTCCATTAAAAGGTAAATTTACTCCAAGAGTGCGACGTACACTTTCTTAATAAATAAAAAAATAACATGTTGTCCATTCCATGACTTTCAACTTTCCAGAAATTTGGGAAATTTTCCCAACTTTGGTATCCTAATTCTGCTTCCCCAACTTTCTAGGTTTTCCAGGCTTGTCAGAAGCCTGAAATAGAAGAAATGAAACTCACAGACTCATCCTGAGATGGGATGGTGTCCAGCCATGCAGGACGAGGCCCAGATGAGGGGAGAACAACAACTCCATCCTGTCCTCCTATAGCATCAACCAAAACAATGGATAAATTCCACAAGAACTTGGAGTTCATATTTGGCCTTCCTTAGCAGTGGAAAATATGTGAACAATCAAATATGTGAATACAGTACTCTACATGTAGAGTGGAGCATTTCACTCATATTGTTGCACATGGATCTTTGATAGGAGTTTCATGAATAAATAAAATAAAGTGACAATACAATGAAAAGATGGTCACTACACTTCAGAAACCATAGGCAAACATGTGTCAGGAAAATGCATGCAACTCACCACACTTCGCAATCCGATTGGACAGGGAATGGGTGTCCCGATCACAGCCCTTCCCAATGTGCGATGTTACAAGAGAGACAGAAGTTGAGATGCTAGAGACTTCACAAGACTTGTTTCCTCCACATAGCTCCAAGTGTGCTCCTGGGTACAGGTTCCTCACACCTGATCCAGGTGTATATTCAACTTGTTCCTCTATCCCTGCAATAACATGGACAACCTTGTGCCATGAGCTCCACAACAACCTTGAGCTACAAAAACCTACAGTCACCAGAGGTGGGAAAATCATGGCCTCTACAAAATACTTTTTTTTTTAATGTAGGAAGGAAGAGTCAAACATAAAAATTGCACATCAGTATTATGATTTTAAGAGCAAAGCACTTAAAAGCTTCACATTAATTAAATTAAGACTGGAAGACATCATCCCTGCACTAGCATAATAACAGGCTCAACATATATCTTATTACAAGTCAATTTGACTTTCAGCATGTTTAGGTAATTGGTGATTTAAAATCATGACAGCCAAATCAAATATTTTCAACATCTAATCATTAAATGATTTACCAATTCATGGTCCTAATCATATCTCAGCATATTTAAATCAGCTTTAATTTAGATAAATTTATTAGATTTGGCTGACTTCAGTCAGTACCCTTACCCTTCCAAGCAACATGACAGGTAGCCTTCACATGGCAGGTGATCTGGACTGGCCTGGACCGTTTCATCCCACAATCATATGCCACCACAGAGAGGATATGATCACCAGGCGTCAAAGGTTCCGAGTTCTTCAGCACACCTGAAAGTGAAACAGAGTATTCATTGCATCTTTCCAAAGAATAAAGACAAGAATGCATCTATGCCAAATATAATAATGTGGATCAGGCAATTAGGAAATATAAATACTTGTACAAATATGCAACACAAATATTAATACTCATAACTCAGCTCACTTAACTTGCCTTTGCCAATATAATATTGAATTTCAGGTATCATAATCCAGGGATGTATGATGAATCTTGCTGACCTCATGTTATGACAATATTACATTAATATATAATAACCTTGTTATAGGCTAAAAACCCTAGTTTTAAGGTAGATGCAACTAAGTGCAAAGATCAAGTTTCCAACAAAGAGATTCAGGGCCCTGTAATGTTACACTTTTTACAACCATGTACAGCAGAAGCCTCCATGATCATTCCAGAGGGGAGTAGAAGACATGACAAATGAAAATGAATTGAACCCACCATCAGCAGTGATGATGAAAGGGCTGGGGATGGTGAGGATCTCATATTTGCAGATGTCTCCAAACTTAGGAGAACAGTCCCGGTCAGATGCTTCCACACGTAGAAGCTCTGAGTACATCTTCCCCTCCTCAGCCTCCACTTCATACGATGGGTGGTACCATTCTGGAGCATGTTCATTCACATCCAAGACTGATACCACAGCTTCAACTCTGCAGGGACCAGCATCCAAAGACTTTTATTGTGGCATTTATAAAATTAAAGGTGCAGCAGACAAAAAGAGGCCTGGTAATGACATCCTACAGTATACATACATACAAACACTGATACTCCTAAGACTACATTCCAATTCTCAGATATAATAATAAATAGATAAACTCAAACAATCAAAATAGCAATTGCAGAATCCCACAAAAATCAACTGTTCTAAAAAATGAAAATCTTTAGACTTTATTTACATCATCCACAAGTATGACAGCCTCTCAAAATTAACAACTTAATTCACACAATGTTATCATGTGACATTTTAGTATGACAAGCTTTCATCAACTACTTCAAGTTGGAAGCTATGATGAGGCTCTTGCCTGGCCTGAAAAAAATTTGTAAGAAGTGAGGAGCAACCCAACTCAACTGAAGAATAGAGTAACTTGATTAAACAGGAAAGTAAAAAGCAGGCATGTGCAGTGGGGAAGTATTGAAACCTGTGGGCATTTATCCCTTACAATGTGACTTATTAAGGAAGAACAAAAATGCCATACATACTTGAGGCTTTAACAAAACAGAAAGTATGTACCATACAAAATGCAGCTAAAATAGTGAACCACATTTGATGTCAATCAAATCTGTAGAAATGAATGTAAACAAAGATTATTCAGGCTCACCCTGGGGATACATGTCCATTGCAAGCCTGGACAGCAATCTGGAAGTGATATCCTTTCTTCGTCTCACAGTCCAAGGTTTTCCGAGCAAATAGCTTTGCCTGTTGTCGATCTACTTCTGACACCACCACCTTCATGAATTTATGTAGTTTCATGTAAAGACCAGTGCAATCTATTTTCCCTTGAATTATGGACACTTAAAATACTTAAATACTTAAAAGACACTAAGTACAAATATGGGGGAAATGGCAGATTTACTTTGCAAGACATATCAAGCAGAACATAAGGGACTGACCTCAAAGGGGATTTCTGAAGAATCCTCAAGGGGAAGAATGACAAATGCACATGGTGGTGGTCCCTTAGCTTTGATCCCAGGAGTCACCTCGACTTCCGTCTCATTTTCTCTGAGAAGCCCATGATAAAGAAGGCCCTCTCCTATGAAGCAAAAGCAAAGATTCACACATGAGGGCCTAATAGCTACATGATGCCAGCAAAAATATGCTCATTTTTGGCTACAATTGATAATGGCAATAGTAACTACCATATTCCACATTCTATGCTTTTCTATTTTACTCTTTCTTACTGCACACAGGATTAGTGATGAACTGCTACCATGTAATTTCTCTTTTTGGGTGATTAACTTTTGTCATGTTGAAAATTCATATGCTTGTTGAAGGAAAAACATAAAACTGAGAAATAAAGCTGCAAATTGTGTCAACCAGAAAAAAGTTGAGTTGTTGCTTTCAATGACAGGATAGCAAAAACTTATTTTTTCACAACTCCATTTAACAAAATTAAACTGAGTACTTCAGTCTGTCACTGAAATATCAAGCTAGTAAATGCTATACATAAAAAGCATACTTCAACAGCAAGCTTTCTTTCAGTGCATCAGCAAAAATGGTATAGGTGAAATAAAGGAGGGGGAGTAGGAAGAGACAAGACAATAGAAGGGGAGAGGATGCCAGATGGTATGCATGGGTATGGGTATGGCTAGTTCTTAGTGGGGAGGAGAGAAAACCATTCACTCCAATCCAGTTGGTGGACCTCTAAAAGAATTTCCAGAAATAAAATTTATTTCAGATTATGAAATTGGACATTGGATAATTTTTGGAGAAAAAAAAAGTTATGTACCTGTTTAAAATTATATTTAAGGTGTTGTAAAAACTTTAGCGAAATAAATAGCAGCAAGAGTCCTGCAAATGCTAATGAAGGTTTCCCACTGACACAGAGATAATTCTTGAGCAATACACATACATTCAGGTGGAACTATAGTATTCTGTATAATACAGTATTCTGTAGAATTGTAGAAGGAGGATCACTTTGAAGGAAACACACTAAAAATTTTACTTTAATCACCATGCATCTCCCTCTGGCAAGAGGTTTGGCCTGACCTATTCCAATAATTTTTACATTTTTCAATGCTATGTTCCCTGTAAGTCAATTAATATGCTAGGATGTATGCACGACTCACCAATGTCTAGCTTTGGATCATCTTCGGTCCACTGTCCAATAGATGCATCAGCTGCACTGAGTACATTAGAATTAACATTTAAATGCAAGCAGTAAAAACACAATATTGTCACTAGAGGTGGCAGCCTCATGACTGCAATCACAGATTGGGCAATTTTATAAACGAGAAGCTCGTTCAACATGGACTTTTGAGGAGTACTCTTATTATGGACATTCAACCCATAGCCTGCTGAAACAACAAAAACAATTGTTTAGTTTGGATAGCATAGACCAACTACATGCCTAAGCCAAAATAGGGCAACTTGCCCAATTGAACACTTGGGGGTTGAGATCCTTGATCACTGTGTCTATTGAAAAAATTATGCCTATTTAAATTACACCTATACATAGCAGCAGAAGGAATGCATTTCAGGGGGAGACCACAGAAACAATGCATTCACAAAATAAGAATATTTTAAGGAATCAATTGGATTGGAATAGCTCTGAATGGCATGAGCAATGAAATGGCAATGAAAAGGCATGTGGCAGGAGAAGAGTTTATCCAGCAATGGAAACAAAATTGCTTATTATGTTCACAATGATGCCATGCCAGGAGCAGGAGATGCGATTGGGTATCTTCAATATTTCCAGTATCAAGTTTATGCATGACCAAAGGGGACACTAATACTCACATGGAAGATGACTGTCTTTTGATGAGACCTTCTTTCATGTTCTATATGCTTTTAATCCTGGAAATTAGACAACCAATCTCAGGAAAATTATAATTACCCTCTTATAAATCCTATTCCCTAATGCAAATTTCCACTAGGCCTATAAGCATTTCCTTATCCTCAATGAGGGGGTCAAGTAATTCCAGAACCTTACCAAAATATATGAATCCATTCACCTTCCTAGTTGCTATAATGGTAGAAATCCCAGGACTGGCAAGCTTTACTTTGGGGTAGGGACAAGTTCCTTTTAAATGTTTCCAAGGTGTTACAGGCCTTGACTGCATGCAAGTTACTTCAGTCTGCTACCATTCTAGGAAACCAAGTATTTTTTAATTTTAGAATAAATAAAAAACTGGAAACATAGTCCCATGGACAGTTTTTCACTCTTTCTTTTGTCTCCACTCATCCTATTTCATGTGGACAGAGACACTGCATCAATCTTCACAGTTCACAGAAGTTGAATGAAGCTTATAGGAACAAGTCCTACTGCCAGAGGCCATCTGGGACAGAGTAGCATTAAAAAAAACATTACAGCTTCATAAAATGTCTGCTTGTTATGCTTCTGCAGTGTTTTCACATAGACCTTTCCTCATTCTTTGTAAGTGCTCTATTCTCTCTCAATCATTTCAATCAGATGGTATCTCACAAGCACCATTGATAACACTGCCAGTTAGGGTGGGTATGAAAAATCCAATCCAAATGGTAATGGTTAAATAATGCAATGTTGCATTATTTAACCATTACCATTACTTCATGGAAACAGTTCATTTTCTCTACATTATAAAAGACACCCACTCCAATAGTATCCTAAAACACTTCAGGTATTCATGTGCAACATGTGCAATAAGACTGTGGGGTAACTACACTGTTTCAGGGTTGAATTTGAACCATCCCCCTATAGTGGAGAATGGAGTAAACATAGATTTCCAAAGGTTCCGCTTCATCAGGTGATAAGCATAACCAACCATTCCTAAAATGTCACTATGTCTAATAGATGGAAGTGCTCCTATAGGGGGTACAAATTCAATCCAGAAATGGGGTAAGCCTATAACTAGCCTTGGACCAGCATAGCATCACTGGGAGCTGTTTTCAAATCAAAACCTTTCAGTTCCAATTAACCATCTGTCCCATGGCTTGCTATTAGGCCAAATAGTTCTCACTCTGACATGGCTACGCCTTTATGTGGGTCAAAGTTAGGCATAAGCTACATTAGGTCAGCCTTTTAGGCCAAGGCTAAGCCTATAAGGTCTACTCCAAGGTCCTACAACAGGTCAGCCAAGGTCTAGGTGAGTGCAACTGGTATTTTCATGACTAGCCTATCATAGCACAGGCGTAACTTAGTTGCGTATAGTTTTCACATGACTATTCTATCATTAGCGATCATTGCCTAGGCCTAGGTCTGGGCCAAGTCAGGAATTATTGCAGGCCTGTACTGCATAGCGGATGAAGGGAGGAGAGTGGACCCGGAGAAATGCATGAGTCATCCGGGAGGGAAGAGGGTCAGAGGGAGAGGTGAAAAGCATGGATGGAGATTGAGCAACAAAAGCACAGCACGGAGAGCAAGTCCGTAGCTAAGAAACGCAGGAGCCATTACTGTAGGAGAGTGCGAATGATGACGTCATCACCTAGTCCTCTCCACTCCCATCCCATGCCTGAATCGATGCAGCGCATTCCCCATTCTTGGTCTCCAGGTGTATCTATCCTCTGCCGCCTGCCTTTTTTTTTATATATGATACATATATTCCCTTCTTCTTCATCGAACCATCTCTCTCTCCCCTCTCCCTCTCTTGCTTTCCCTCAGTTCAATCGAAGAAGCGTAGCATGAAATGGGATAGACATACCCACGAAATTATTTAATAAGTGTGAATCTTTGAGAAGCTTATCGACCCAGGCAGCCGATGTCATTTGCCGTGTAGGGCACAGGTCTCCACTCCCTCACATGCTTCAGGCGGATTTTATTATGAAAAGCGAGCTCCAGGACCTTTCTCTATGGGAAAAGTAAACATCTGCAAGTTTTTTGTTCGCCTGTCGATGTAATTTTCTCCATTCATCCTCGTCTCATCTATCATCGCCTGAGAATGCTGATGGTGATTATTGCTATTTGGAGCTAGGGCGGGATCTCCTCAAGGAAGCTTCTCTAAGACGAATGGGATTCCTCCCCCATGAACTAGCGAGCACACGAGACTGCGTGGTTCCGCTTCTCCTGCCTTCCGTGACGTCCTAGACTCCTGCCTCAACGAAATGAGAGGATGTGGAGAGACATGCACGAAAACTAGACAGATGCTTCTTTTCTCATAGTCAGGGTTATAAGATCCTCATATTTCCTCTCGTTTCTCCGTCGCATGTACAAAAATCCCGTAGCTTATCCTTTCATTAGTGAACATCTTCAGGTGTAAGTTTGTGAAATACCGAGGAATAATGGGGGAGTCTGGCGATATGAAATTCTTCATAGGTGTCCCTTGGGGCTGCCCTATTTCCAGAGTTGCAGAATAGAGAGTGCGGAATTGTAATGAATCCACTTTCCTTTCAGCCCTTTAATGACATCTCTAGTTGAAGTCGAGGACGCATTGAAGATTCTTCTCTTTCTCTTCTCTCTATTTCTAGCCTATTTTCTGTAAACTTAATTCTCTCTCAAGCCTTTCGCAACTTGTATAGATTTATCCTCATTCTACTGTTACCAACAAGTCGGAAGAACCTGCAAGACTGCAAATTATACTTTACTCATGATGACAATGAAATCCTGGATGAGATCCCCATTCGTAAAAAAGTTCCAGGATCAGTTTAACCCTCTGAACCCTATTATGCTTATATATTGGAAATGACCAAAATTTCAATTCCAAGGAATTATTATCTTTTGAAGCTGAACAGCATGAAAATGTAAGCATCACCGGGGCTGGAATGTCGTTTCGCGACAAGATTACTTTGTGATTCTTTTACAGGAAATAAGGGAACTTTTGGGGAGGTTTTTTTTCTCACAACTATTTGAAGGTCCCTTTTTGGGTGGAATTCGATTTGGAATGGGAGGTAGATGGAATAAGAATTGAATTATTCTTGCGGAAAGTTCAGGGGAATTGAAGCTGGAACGGTTCTACCATATTCCCCCGCTGGCATTAGCATGGTACTATTCCGTCTGATTTTCTCAATGTTACAACGTCGCTTTGTTTCTTAATATGTGATTATAATTCTCCCATGCTGTGTCCCAAGCCGTCTAATTTATTTTCCTATCCATTTTTTTTTCTTTCCAAAAGGTTCTTTAAAGAAAATGAAATGAATCCTTGGCACCAGATGTGTTCAACAGATTAATCAGGAATCATTCTTTCAATACGCTTTTAAATGTTGTATTGGTGGATGAGAACATAGTCAGACTTCTTTGCACCAACATAAATCCCCAACTGAAGCAGGGCCGTCTTTGAGCCATCCAAGGATATATCCGCATTGATTGCATGGATGACATACATGTCATCCAAGGTAGCATGGATGACATATATGTCATTTATGCTACCGATGCGAGACTAATATAATCAGATGGAGCCGGAACAGTCGGCAGACAAAGAGGTTCTGCGAGAACGAGAATAATGTATCCAGTATGCGTAGAACGAGAGACTAAAACACGTAAAAGCACCAATTATGATTCGCGTCAAGCTATGTCCTTCGTTGAACTCGAGAGGAGCTGGTAAAACAAGACGCGAAAAAAACAAGCTCCCCACTCTCGCGGCAGTTACAAGGTCTGAGAAAAAATAAGTCAGACACATTAAAAGTGGAATGAACTATTAAAACGATGTAAAAAATAAAAAAAAAGCGAAGGAAGCATAAAAAGAAGAAAACCAGCTCTCGGGCAAAGCCCTTTTTCAAGGGAGAGATAAAAGACAGGTTTGAAGGGACGAGAAGGCCACATGAAGGACGGGGATGTCCGCTAACGGATGTCTGGGATGTAAGGATACAGCTTTTTTTAAATATAATTTTTTAAAATAGCTTTTAGTATTTAGAGCATAAGAGTAGAAAATTCGTCAATTGTTTGCTACTTGCTCTGCTACTTCTACTGCTTCCTGGAACGAAAATCTATTATTTTAAAACTGGATTGAAGCTTATGAAGTCTATCGATTGATGTTATAGTCCGAAGAGAGAGGAAGTAAGGTGAAATAGAAATACGACTTAAGTTTGGATCCTTTGAACCGCAGCCGTCAGAACGATAGCCGTTGAAGCTACGATCAGGAAGGGAACCGAAGATCCATCATACTGCTTGTGACTAATGGAACATGTGATAAAATAAACGACCCGGGGGGAACCTTATCACGTTTACGTTGATCGCATACGTCATTGCGTTATCTCAGTACCGGCTCTCAACTGTCCTGGTATTGACTATTCATGAAGAAAGAGCGGCGGCTGCGTAGAGTTCATTTATCAGAGCTGTCGAGGAAACTCCAGAACAATGCACTTCTAACTTCAAGTGTGACACCTGTATATACCCCCGTACACAGGAATGTAAAATATTCAATACAGTATGCAGAAAAAAAAAATCGTTCTCTGATGATGCAGTGTTCATGTTCGGGAAATGTAGAAGCTCAAATGATGCCAATTCTACTCAGTAGACTCGATCCTTTTTTATCACCGGTCGTCCACAAGTGCCATCCTGATTGCCTTCATTGCGGAAGCACCGAAACCCCATTGGAGCCCCTCCACTCAGGTTCTTTAACGACCCACAACGGCAGTCGGGAGTTCTTTACGTGCGCAGAGACCTTCCCTCCCAAACCACGACAGGGGGTCTCGGAAATGAACGCCTCGGCTGGCTGCTTTGGAATCCAGATCCCATGCCACGGGAGCCCTGGGGAAGCGATCAAGAGAGCCACTCACCTGCCCTAACCACGTGCAACAAGTGGTTTTTCGGTTCTTCCACTTGTCCTGTTTCAGGGCTTCAAAAAGTTTCAAAAAGAAGAGGTGCTTGAGACTTTTTTCTGCTCGATCTTTTGATTACAGCGGTTAACAACAACACAGTTGTTATTAACTTGAATAGGTCAAAGAAATCATCCGAAAGAGAATGAGTAACAATCATTTCAATTCATGAAGGTTTTTGGAAGATTTGTGAAGTCAAAGGACTCTCCTCAAAAGTCATTTATCTGCTTTTCCTCCAGGCTCACAGTGGTTCTTGATTCTCAGAATTCGAATATTTGATATGAAGCCATTGAGAAGATTGGAGTTGAAACTGATTCATGGTTGCCGACAGAGTTTGTAGCGGTATCTAATTGCAGGTGAATGTAAAATCTGACAAAGAGATCAGAATTAAGAACTGAATTGTGACCAGTCTGGCTGGAAATCCACAACGTTGGTATTATTTCTTTCCTGGTTTCCGAGTTTACAATTAGACAATCAGTTACAATATAAACGTTCCTATTTTCAGTTGGAGATGCCAAGGGCATCGCCGCCGGAACGATTTTCAGCTTAAATCTCTTCCTGGGGAACACGGAGGAGCTGAGGAAGCTCACAAGGGCTTCTCCAACCCACTTGAGAGGAAGCACCCTAGTGGAAGCACTCGAGTGGAAGACGATGGATAGTCGGACGGTACCGGTATTTTTTTTGTGTCACCCCCATGACTGAGAGCACTCTCTCGGGTGCAAAGAGGTAAATAGGATCCAGGTCTTTCAGTCTTCGTCATTTAAAATATTTTGCATGAATAAGAATCATTTCCTGTTCGATCCATGTGCAAAATTTCCTCTTCAAATCTTTCAGATGTTGAACTTTTTTTCGACCCCAGCAGTATTTCTTCCATAAGCGTCATTGGAAAGCTTCTTGCCGTGCACAACTTTGAGGCACTCAAAGGAAAAGCAGAAAGCAATTATGGGCGTCACCGTGCATGGAGATATCCCTCCATTGCGAAATGGCTTTCCTTGACATCCGAAGAATTTCATTTTCATGGAAATTGTGAGAATAGAAACCTCCTGGGTGCTCGTCCTTTATCGCCAGTTATTATTAGTATTATATATATATATATATATATAGATTGAATAGAAGCATAACTTTGATGTCCCTCCCAGCCAAAGCCACCCCACGGTAACAGGCAGGAAATGCCCGGCCTCTAGCCCAGAAGAGGGCAGAAAACAATTAAATCCCAGAACCATACTATGGCAAAATAGCCTGCAGAGTTGGGGCAAAGCTTAAGAAAGTTAAAAGAAAGAACGGATAACGAAAGATTCCATTCTAGAAAATTTTCAGGCAGCCTGCGTCATTGGGGGTTGAGGCCGCAAGTCTGACCAAACAAACCCTACCCAGGAAGTTTCTACTGCCAGGTGCTACGGCTATGGAATTAAACAGTTAGACTTACCTAATGCCTCAGGGGCAATCACGGCTTAAGTCTGTCTGTCAGTGCCACAGTTAACGATCGATTAGCTCGATCAGCCTCGCGACTGAAATAGCATGGTCGACTCAAACCTATGAAAGAAACGAAGCGGGAGTAAGACTCGGAATGGCTCAAGCCTATGAGGGAGAAGGAAAAATGGGGGGGGGGGGAAGGTTTGGTGCGAAACAAGCCTATGCGAGGAAAAGCGTAGCCCAGGGAATACATACAGGGACTTGCTGAAGTCTCTTGTTTATCCAGTAGCTTACCTGCGGTTACAGCAAATATCTCGTATTTCACGGAATGTCCCGTTTCTGTTCACCTTCGTTACGAATCCCAGATTACATATGACATTCTCGGAACGCATTTCCTCCAACACAACTTAAATGTACCGCAGGAGGAATCAAAAGTGAAGCAATTACCGGTACTTGCGTGCATCAAATCTGAACACCGACTCGAGAAGCGTAGAAGCAGCTGCCCCGCGAGCGTTTCGACATCGCGGGAGTCTTCACAGCGGCCTTCCGGGGAACTCACAATAGCGACAGCAGACTGATGAAAACGCGAGGAAACTCACGAAGCTGCAACAAGCAGGATCTCGGAATTCTTGTCAGAGCAGACTTGGCAAACATGACCCTGCCTGTCACTCTCGACGAGGAATTTGGAATCTAGCATCGTGGGTATGCATGCACAACAATACAATCGCTTTCTTTGGTGCGTCTGAGAAGACAGAGAGGGTCATTCTTGTTACCCTTCTTCCGAGTGAGCCTCCTATTTCGAGAAACAAATGCGGATTCTTGCAAAATCTACTTGAATCTACGTGTCTTTCTCTGTCGGCAAGTGGTTTTGTCATTGTCATTGCTTCAAGCTGCACCAAATTTGTAAGCGAACTCATAAATAGGGAAACCTGATATCCACTCAGTTTTGGAAGCATTTCACAAAAAAATCGTGGAAATAACGTGAAATTAGGAGATTCTCAAAGAGCCAGAGAGATTGCAACGCATGATCGTCCTTCCTTCGTCACAACCGGAAATTTCCCACGCGGGCCGTTTCACGTTAGACCTTTCTCCCCTTCGTATCGAACTTTATCATGTCAGTATTGTCTACGACGTTATACAGGCAAAGGCAACGCATGCTGTTGAATAAACATGCATGTCAAATTGCGATTAGGTTATCTTTGTGCCACTTCTCTTTCCGTTTGGGCCTACTGAAGGCGGATCCAGAAATTATTAATAGGGAACCGCCATGGTCAGTCTGGCAAACGAGAAATGGTGTTACTCAGCGAGGGCAAGGAACGGAGAATATAAGATCAATGGGCTAAATAAATACACGCCCTAGTTCTCCTAATATTAATCAATGTCATTAATCCCCACGGAAGCCCTGCGCTTTTCTAGCAAAATTTAAACTAATGCCATTATGAATCCCGGGGGGGGGGGGGGGGGGGGGGGGAAAAACCCCCCCCCCCCCCCCCCCCCCCAGNGCGGAGGGGGGGGGGGGGGGGGGGGGGGGGGGAATAATCCACCTTCCTCCCCCCTCCCCTCTGGATCCGTCATTGGATATTACGGACCCTTTCACCCTCATCCATGCCAACAGAGCTCCCCTTGCGCGATGAGTTGCACGTTGACGTTTTCGATGTCAATGTTTGCATAGTTTAATGAATGTCTACTCGTTAGATGTCAGGAGATGCAACCAACATGGTACTCTGCATCAGCAGAGTGGAAAACACGTGACGTACGATATGGTATCTTAATATTCGCATCCCAGTGAGAGGTTTCGCCAATATGGGTACTTGAGTGTATAAAAGGGAAAAGTTTAGTTTTGTAGGATAGTTACATGTGGTATCAGATCCAACTTTGGCCATCAGGTGGACTGCATTCGGCCTCAAGGTATAATAAACTTTTTTTGAACAGTACACCTGAGTGCGTTGAAGATAAACACTGACATGAACTAATTTGAGTTCTAGGATCGAGAAATATTGACATTCACGAAGTAACCCGGAGAAATGTCAATGCCAGCATTAAGATGTAACTTGTATGTAATAGTTGCACTGAATTGATTAGATTTCTTCCTAAGTTAGAGCAAGATTATATGACCAATTTTAGCCATAGAATCTTATTTTCTTGGAGGTGGTCCTGAAGATTAGCAACTGAGTTCAGGAGATAGTGAATTAATCATTAGGCAGTGAGATTGGAAAAGTGTTATAGTGAACAGAATTGTCCCTCAGCTTCATCTCATATAGTACAAAGGAATGCAGAGAGTGACCAAGATCTGCCTTAGTAGGCATGTGTAGAGCTATTTAAAAAAAAATCAATTACTTGTTTGGTAGGATAGTAATTTATATTTTTTAGTGATAGTAATAGGTGTTTTGATTGTAATGATGCTGATAGCAACATATATATTTTGTTATATCTCAGGAACAAGTGACATTGATGTAGATGAAGGGAAAAGTAAAGGTTTTTGGTAATTGGAAAACAGTGCAACGAAGGGTGCTGGCATTTCAATGGACACATGGCAGACTTTTGCAGATGAAAGAGTTTTTGTTTTTATAGGTTTATAGACCATAGTTATGGTCATGGTCATTTATTAGGATGTAGTGGTAGCATGAGGCAGATATTTTATAGGCCAAGAGGAGTTTGATGGTGCAGGTGAATAGCATGTGGAGCTGGAGCAAGAGATGAGAAGTAATAAAAGAAAGAAGTTACACTATTGAAATGGTTGACAGATGGCTATGAGTGCATGTCAGCATCAGAGACTAGATCTGTCAGAACTGAGTGGGTTCCCTGTTCACCCTTTAGGTTTTGTGGGATATTGTACTTCCAAATAGCACCCACCTTCTCTCTGATCTAAACAAGCACAATTTGTAGGTGCCTCTCAACAAAATTTATAGATTGTTTTGACATTAGCAACATAGAGAGGAAAGGCAAAATGGGACTCACAAAGGATCCTTTGTGAGTGAGGGAAAATAGTAATTGCTCAGCAATTACTATTTTCCATTTCCCACATCAATTTTGTAATCACAAAGGTTTCAAATATTTAGAATTTGACAAAAAGAGGAAATATACTTGTCTGAGAGTGGAAGCTTGTTCCTCCATGGCTGCCATTTTGGTTAGGTGCTCTTTAGTTTGGCTGATTCCATACCTTCTATAGCCTAGAGGGCAATTGGGTATCCTGTCATAGACCCACACTTCTAACCCCTTACCATCAGTGAGGAGCTTTTAGGCATATATGAATTGAGTACTCTATGGTAAGACTCTATGATCATGGTTAGGCCTATTATACATGTTTCTTTTGAATCCTAAAATTTAGTTGACAAGAACTTAGTTGGAATGAGTGAGAGAACAAAAATGGGAGATAACGAAGTTCAGATGGCCAGAATTTACATGGATTACAATGCTACAACCCCATTGGCTCATGAAGTGAAAGAAGCCATTATCAATGGATTATCTATGTGGGGAAATCCAAGTTCTTCATACTCACTGGGACAGGAAGCAAGGGTTGCCATTGAGGATGCACGACTCCAGATTGCCTCTATGATTCATGCATTCCCTGAGGAGATTCTCTTCACATCAGGTGGGACTGAGGTATGCCTATTGCTAGGTATGGCTAGATGAAGGCATGATGCCTCATTCCAGACCCATAGTTCTCTCCTAATTTATTCACTTGGAGCTTTCAGTTTGGAAGTTGTGCAGATTCTGACCAAAGTTAATCAAAAATGGAATTGTAAGTGTACAGGCAAGCAGTGTGGCAATGAGAACCAGGACTAATGAATGTGCCTTCTTGTCTTTTTCTCCACCTATATGTGCCTTGGGGAATTTTACCTCCCTAGATGAATCCACTCTTTATATCTTATAATAGGGTGAGGTGAGGAAATAATTGAAAACACTTCCTATAGGATATGTGAGAGTCAAAGACTTATGGGGAAGTACTGGTGCTCTGAAGTACTGGAAGTACTGGGAAGTTTAAATTATTTTCTGTGCATAACAGCAGGGCCGTTTCTAGGGACGGGCAATTGCCCGGGGCGCCAGTGGGGTAAAGGGGGAGGGGGGGGGGGCGCCAGAAGGGTAAAGGGTGAGGGGGGGGCGCCATTGGAACTTCTTGCCCTGGGCGCCAACACGCCTAGAAATGGCCCTGCATAACAGGATTTTTACCCATATCCCACAAGCCTTAGTTTCCTTATTCTCAGTGAGAGGGTTTGGCGTTTCTTGCAGTACACACAAATAAAGATGTTCTGCAATACATGCCAGTGCTGCAGCATGTCTTGAAGTGGTTTTATTACACCAATGCAGAGCTTGTAGATCAGTGGTCCCCAACCTTTTTGGCTCCAGAGCCACATTGCTAACTCCCACTGCCATCATAGGCCAATGCAATCACTAGTACTGTTGGAGACAATTTTAAGGAAACCTTAGGGTAATTATTGTGGGTTAGGGCCTTGTGGGCCATTTGTAAGCACCTTGCAGGCCACTTTTTGCATGTGGGCCACAGGTTAGGCACCACTGTTGCAAATCTATGCTTGTTTTGAAGTGTCAGTTTTGATTCATGTTTCAGGCAAATCATATGGTGATTCATTCTGTCATCTGTGAGGAAGCAGATCAGGGAAATCCCATTCACATCATTACATCAACAATTGAGCATGATGCTATCCTGGAGCCGCTCAAGTATCTCCAGAAACAAAAGCACATTGGTGAGATTTTTTAATGATGATTGTTCCATGGTATGTCTCTCAAGGATTCACTGGGAACATTTTAACATCATTTTCCTATTGATGTACAGTCCATGTAGAACCCACACCCCTAGATATTGCAAGGTTGCTATGAAACATCATGAGGCTTCCTGCAATATCAAGTCTAGCTGGGAAAATGAATGATCATCATTGCCAGAAACACTTTTGGTCCACTGATTGATCACCACCTCCTTGTGGTAGGGGTGGAAAAGAGGGCATGTTAAAATGTATGCATCCTAAACTAAATTTGCATGCTATATCCCCTCTGCTGTCAGAGGAGATAATCTTCTCATTCAGAACCTAAACATATATCACACTTTATTTGCAAGCATCTCTGCCTGCTCTCATAACCTCCCTCTTTGGCTGCTAGAGCAGGACATGAATAGTCTTAAGTTATTAAGAATGTGTGAGTTATCATGGGATCTTGAGAAAGCCCTCCCATACCTGGCCAGTGGGAAATATCATGTTAACCAAGAGACCTTATTCACCAATTTAGGATAACTCTTGGATGTCAAATGCCAGAACTATGCCATATGTACAAGTGTAGGACTTCAATCTTCCTCACATCCATTGCCTTTGTAATGCCCCATGCAAGCACTTCAGAGATCTGCTGCTTCTATTGGCCTTTGGATTTGTCTAATCATGATAGGAATACTTTATCAACATCACTATTTGAGTATCCTAACAGGATCTTCTATCCCCTGATAGATGAGCATCATCATCAACAAACCACATCATCACCTACTTACAAAAAGCACCTGCTAATTAATGGAACCCCTTGCAAGATCCATCTTACTGGATAATGTTCCATGGAACAACTGCATCATTGACCAGCTGAGACCTATATAATCCTCTTCATTTCCTTCATTTGAAGGTCTGGTGGTATTACATTCACATTCTACTGGTCCTCCTATATGGAATCAAACTATTGATCACTGAACAAGTTAACTCGAACATTGAAGCATATTACTTATGTTGGAAAAGGATACGTGTTGCACCTCCCCTTGGTGCACATGTCACTGGCTGGAACATATTTACTAAGTCCCTTTCCACTACTCCAGAAGGACACTGAAATCCTACCTGTTGGAGTGGTACTCCGAAGAACAAGAACTACCAACTTTTGCCAGTGACAATCCTTACTGAGACCAACTGGTTTCAGAATGTCATGCGATGATCACCCATTATCTCCCTGGTAATGTAGGAATCCGAACAGCCATGATACTTTGAGGCTTAAGAATACTCCCTTTTACTTTTCCCCAGAATATACCTCACAGAGGCACAGAACATATGTAATAGCCCCAAACTGTTTTTGCATGTATAATTATGTCTTAAAAAATAATAGATGTGAATGGATGAGTGAAATGACAACCTGACAGTGTTCTCCACGCAAGGACACAAAAAACGCATAACCAAGAAAGAGTTGAGCAATCTTGATGAAATTTGGTACACTACCTCATACTAGCATATTATGATATTGATTAGAATTTCAAGTGTGTGGAATGGATATTAATGTCAAAAGCATACCAATTAATCCAATTTCAATATTGGCTATGGGGTCATACTAATTGCCAAAAACTGTTACCTAGATGGTTTTTACTGATGAAACATGGTAGGTGAACTCCTAAAGATGTTTAGAAAAATCTAGTAAAATTTTGAGATTTTGAGATGAAGCAATTTGGAGAAAACTTGTTAAATGCTGGAAGAATTGTGAGGGGCAGTGCCATTGAAGGCACCAATTTCCATTTTTCCTACTCACAAGCTGCTTCCCTTTAGAGCCATTGTTGAATGTCTAACTGCAAGGCAGTGCCAAGATGGGATCTCTGGAGGCAATTTCAACTTGTTGTTAAGGTGTTTCATTAATGGAAAGTAATTGTGATACATTTTTCAGTTTCATGCATCAGGCTGATACATGCACCAAGTTAATGCATGATAAGCCTCCCAGTTACCCTACATCCATAAAATACCCTAAGAGCTTGTTGAAATAGCCACCAGAGATCTCATCTTGGCACTGCCTTGTGGTTGAACTTTCAACAACAGCCTTATAGGAAGGTGGCTTGAGTGAAGGAAAAAAGGAAACTGGTGCCTTCAATGCCCCTGCCCTTGTCCCCAATTCTTCAAGCATTTAACGAGATTTCTCCAAATTGCTTCATCTCAAAATTTCGAAATTTGGCTAGATTTTTCTCCACATCTTTAGGAGTTTTCTTGCCATGTTTCCTCAGTAAAAATAATCTAGGTCAGCGCTTCCCAACCCAGGGTCACAACCCCAAATGGGGTCACGAACCAGCAGCTAAAAACCAAGTTTTGTTTTTCTTTGAGATTTTAGCGCATTGGTGGGGGAATCTGTCGAACTTTGGCCAGTTCTTGGGGTCCTGAATGGTATGATTGTGATTTAGGAGGTCACATGTGAGAAAGGTTGGGAAGCCCTGATCTAGGTAATGGTTTCGGGTGATTAGTATGCATAGCTGATATTGAAATAGGATTAATTGGTATGTTTTCTCAATTAATCTTCATCCCACACACTTGAAACTCAATTTCATAGTATGCTAGTGTGAGGTAGTGTACCAAATTTCATCAACATTGCTCAACTCTTTCTTGGTTGTGCTTTTTTTTGACGATGAGTATAGTTTGGTATTAGAGTGAGTTTGGTAGACTATTGTTATTATTGACTGTATCTATACAAAGAGTTCAGAAAGAGTAAGGAATTCAATGAAGATTAGGTTTGAAGTGGTGTCTGTGTTTTGAATCCTTTGATTTCTGGCCCTAAGTATCTTCTACTGTCTTCATGAGACCAATAATCCAGTCAAGCCTTTCTTTTATGCAGGAGGCCACAGGAGCTAACTTGGTTCAATGAAGGAGAAAGGCAATTTGATATTAAGGCAACATGGACATATTATTAAAGAAGAGAAAAGGATCTCAGATGGATGGACAGAGACTAGAAGGCTAAGGTGTTCATTATGATGAGGAAGATGAAGAATAAATTGCTTGTAGACCTTTGAAAGATGATGGATATGAAAACTCTATGACTGGTTTCCATAATCTTACATGCAAAACAGTACTAACACAAAAAGTACCAGCAACAAGCTGCAACCTGAGGTCAGTTTGGTCCATCTTCGAAATGCAGAACATGATCTCCTCAAACTGGTAGCCTTCCTCTTGGATATTCACTTCTTATGGAACTATTCAAGCTCATTCTCCAAGTCTTTCATTTCTGGTTGTAAGTAGTGTAAGTTGCTACATGCATCACTTATCCATTTTCAATGGAAAATCCTCTAATTTAAATTTTGACTCATTAATTTATATCAATCAGATTTTAAATGAGCCAACCATAGCTGTTGCACAGTTGATTTGTACCATCTAAGAAATTCATTCCATTTTTTTCAACTGCCTGATATCTGTGAGTATGGCTATACCATCATATTATAGCCTTTTGGTTGAAAAATCGGTCATTGTGTCATGACATGTCTTCGAATTATCTTGCAGATGTGACATATTTGGAACCAAGGGGGGAAGTTGGGACAATATTAGTGGAGGATGTAGAGAAGGCCATCAGACCCTCCACACTCCTTATTACCCTTATGATGGCCAACAATGAAACTGGAATCCTCCTGCCTATTCAGGGAGTTGCCCTGTAAGTGTAATTCCATTATTTTTAACCCCACCTCTGCTTTCACTTTTCATTAGTTGCATCTGTTTTCTCGTATAATGATATTGAAACTCATTTTATATGTATTCAAAATGAAAGCCACTGCAAATTGCATATCCTTTAAACTGGTTGTCATAGGTACAGGGTACCCTGAAACCTCAGCCCTCTCATCCTGCCTTGCATCGATCATGCACACAAAAAACTGGTCAACTCCATATGAAAGCCCATCTCATTTTAAAATTAAATCTGTCTTTAATGATGGCATCAATACAGTTGTAGTACAGTGAAACCTGTGGATTCGGCCACCTTGATATTACGGCCACCTCCTATTTGCGGCCAGAAGGGCTCAGTCCCAACTATTGGTTCCATAGGCTCAATGTTAAAATAACCTGTTTTATCTGGCCACCTGTCTAGTGCAGCCAGCAGCCAAGGATTTGCAGACCCTCTGGGCTGGCCACTCTTTAATCCGACCAGAACACAGGAAGGAAAGAAGATTGCAGGTTCATTACCTTCCTCTTTTTTATTTCCCTGCCTTTCTTTCTTCTCTCTTTCCCTTTCGCCTCTTTCCCCTCCCCTCTCCGATCCCTGAATTGACCTGTCGCTTGGTTGTCCAGGTCACATCTCCAGAGTTTTGATAGCGAGAGAACGATCATCAAGAGTGCTGACCTGCTGCTAGTTCTTCCCTGTATCTTGCTCCCTTTCTTAAAGGCCATCAAGTGCTATGAAGAAGCTGAAGTGCTTTTTGGTAGAGAAGGGGATGCACCAGTCAGTCGAAGCAATCATGAAGCTTGAAGCATCTCTCCAGGAGCGTGTGTGCTAACGCAAAATGCATTCACATCAAACGAACATTCAAGACTTCTTCACACTGACATACTGGTCTTCAAATTTTTCTTGCCGTACATATTATAACTAAAACCTCACAAAATCAGAAGTACAGCACCTTTGTAGTAAACAGTGTGTTTAATTTTCCTGAAAAACTGACTGGTAAGTACCTCACAGTTTGCCTATAGAAAAAAGTGGGGGAGGGGGAGGAAGTTCCCCTCTTTACAACGGCCACCTGTCAGAACCGGCCAAATTTAGAAAGTCCCCCTTGTCGCCATACTACACAGGTTTCACTGTCGTATTAGTAGCCTGTAAAAAGCAATTTTAAAATAATATTTTCACCTTTACTTTCTATGAAATAAAAGATGCACAAGCTGCATTCATCACCCAATCCTGAGTTATTCATGTTCTTCATAGGGAGAACTTTCTGTAACTTAATTTGAAAATTTTAATTGGCTATTGTGCATCTTACCCTCATGCTGTTGTTGGGCTAGGATGGGGCTCACACAATATAAAGGTTCAGGCTGTAAACATGAAATGGAATAGTTCAGTAAGAAAAAAAGCCTGTTTTGCTTCATCATTGCACAGTTCTGCCACTGAAAGGGGGAGGGCTGAGGTTTTATGCTGCCATGTATACACCCTTGCACATCTATTATTTCCTTATTTGCATGCTGCTCCAAACTGCAGGCAGTCATTTCTTGTTGATTCAAGTGCTGTCATATGACTGTTTTGTGAGAGTGTGTGCATCCACTTTTCCTTAAAACTTGCTACCCAAACAATGAAGTAAGAAAATGAATTACTGTGGTTAATAGTAAACTTCCTGTTGGATTCATGATGACTTTTCATGTGTCTTTGGTGAGTTCTTTTTTCTATGCATGACCATGTAACCCAATTTTTAAATGTGAATTCATGTTGTGTAGAGCATTCTCATGCACTGCAAAAGCTTATGTGACATCCTTGGCTATTCTTGCTTTTTCTTGCCTTTGCTGCTGTTAATGCCATATGGTATGCTTGGCATGGTGAACCTCCACTGCTTAAATTGACAAGGAGAGGTTGGCTGGGCATTTAAATCCTCAGCAATCAATGTGATAATTTATTTTAATGTGTTAAGATGAGCTTGCCTGAAGTTCCCATCTCAAACTATTTTCAATCATGGCTTGGGAAATTTCTAGCTGTCCTTCATTATGCCCATCCCAGTAGATGGCAGACTACAATCAGACTTGTTCAGCAACACTTGATTCCTCAGTGTTATTAAGACACTATAGTCCATAATGTCACTATTGTATGAATTCAGATAAAAGAAGCTGTAATACAATTGCCTATCCTTTTGCCCTATGCTTCAGATCGAAGAATACAAAAGCATCATGTGCCTTTCTAGACACACCAGTAACTTTTGTGCTAGTGTATGTTAATTATTATTATGAAGATCTGACCAATGTTGGGATGTGGATGCCCTGTTTTCAATTACTTCCTTTTTTCATTACCCATATCAGCTTGAAGATCATTCTCTCGCCTACCTACCTAGCCTACCATTGTTTAATTTTCAAGGCGACTGAGAGAGATCAATGAGCAGAGAAGGGAGTCTGGAGGAAGGAAGATTCTTTTACACTCAGATGCAGCTCAAGCCATTGGAAAAATTCCTGTCAATGTTGAGGACATGGGTGTTGACTTTCTCACCATTGTTGGACACAAAGTGAGGAAACTATTCATCTCTCTTAGTTTATTGGATAATTGTATGATGTCTTTTATGTTTCAAGGTTTGTCAGAGTCATGCTATTTTTTTTCTTTTCAAAACATACATTCTTGCTTTCATATGAAACAAGAAGTATGGGGAAAATTCAGTCGAGAAAAAGGTCTGTTCTAAGCTCAAATTATGGGGAATGAGAGAGTGTTATGTATTGCTTTGTGCAGTTTTATGGTCCAAGGATTGGAGCCCTGTATGTTCGAGGACTTGGGAGTGGAGATGGTGCATTATTTCCACTCTTCCGGGGAGGAGGTCAAGAGCGTGGGTACAGACCAGGAACAGAGAATACCCCAATGATTCTTGGGTTGGGTGCTGCTGCTTTCCTTGTTTGTCTCAATCTCTCATCTTACCAGAAGCACATGGAAAACATGAGAAATGCCCTCATCACCCTCCTCAAGGTACTCAGGTGCTTCTTCAGCTTGCAGAAGTCTTTTAGTCAGTGAAAAGACTTCTGTCCAAGGCTATAGCCTAGGCATGTTGCCCTGTCCACATCATAAGATGGTGATCATCAAAATCAAAACTCTATCCAGCATCTACTCTATGATATGTAAATAAATGTATTCATTGAACCTGATGCTTATAGGAGTATCCAACAGATGCGGGTTGTACTGGAGTTTCTGTTATTGAAATACAGCAATGAAATTCTATGGTAATATGGATTCTCCTTGAGTAATGCTGCCTAGAGGGCTCTGCTTATTTTCTAGTTTCCACCCATGTAATATTCCATATTGAGATATTGCTGCAATGTATTCTAATTTTATCATAATTGAATAATCTCTCTCATTCACACTCTGATCATTTACTCTTGTCAAAAAGAAACTTACCAAAAAAGAGTTTGGCTAAGGACACAAAATTTGGTACAGAGGTCAGAGTAATATGAAATGAAATTGATTAAAATTTCAAAGCTACAGGTTACTCTTTCTAGAGGACTCACCAATTGCCCAACTGAAATGGGATGAGTTGGGATGGAGGATTTCCAATCCATCACTAGCCTCAGGGTTGAAGGTCTTCCCCTTTCACATATTTCTCTAGATTCATGTCATTCTTCAGAGAATTGGCTGGCCTGCATTCCTGATGACACTCCCCTTGTTATCCAGATCTTATTTGGCTCTTGATCTCCTTCCACTTTTCCCTCTTTTTCTCTATCCCCCTTCATTTTGTCATCTTTCCTTCCTGTTAGATTCCTTGTCTCAAAATCCCATAGAGGTCTATTTATGCCCTATTATTGAATTCATTTTTATAAATATTTTTGCTGATGTGCCTTTTTAGTGTGTTTTTGGTATTTTCACCTTGAAAGTTCCTTGAAACTTAGGGCCCATTGGTTACAGGAGGCATTTGAGGAGTCCCTTGTGATCCATGGAGACATAGACCCAAAGAATCGTCTACCAAACACTGTGAATTTTTCCTTGAAGCCTCCTTTGTACACAGTAAAGGGAAGAGAGATTCTTGGGAAGATTCCCAGACTATGTGCCTCCACGTCTGCTGCCTGCCATTCTCATTCCGTCAAACCCTCAAGTGAGAACTTTCCATCCTCTTTCAAACTTTGAAAGATTGATCCCACACACCAAGGGCATCCTGTTTCTCATTTTTGCCTTACATGCTTCAAGAGCTCTTCAAAAGTGTGCTTCATAGGCATTTCCTTGGGAGAAGAAAAATTTGTATTTTTCTTCATACCTTATGCAAAGTTTCAGGGTTTCCAGGCATAGGGTGACTAAAAAAATTAACACCCAGTCATTTTCTGTAGGAGAATATCATTTTCTGTAGGAGGTAATGTTCTGTGTATGAACAACAAAGGTAATTTATCAACATTGGAAGGTGATAAAGTATTGGAATGAGGACTAGGTTTTTGTCTGTACACTTGTCTTAGCCATGTAATATTAGTTTCCTGACTTACAGGTGGATTATTCTGCCACAAGCGCACACTTGTGGCAAAATAATCCTTGCAGTCTGCATTCAATCATCTCAATAATTTATTATAGTTAGCATGTTCTCAGGGTATGGTGAAAGTAGCATATAGCCAAATCGTAGGTCTTTACAGCAAATAAGGGTTGTGCTGTGAGATTTTAATCTGCCATTAGAGCAAAAAATGGCCTCAAGCTTTCAGAATTTCAACTTCCCCATTGCTGATGACTTAATTGGTACAAACTCTAAATTGTAATTTAAAAAAGTAATGTACTTTGAAATTTAAAAGTGAAAAAATGATATGGGAATTGTAGCCTCAAAATCTTTTTCAATGATGATATTCTCATTCCCACCAAATTTGACACATATACAGGGTGAGAAAAAATTACCAAATAAACTCTTTGTGGTACATATTCATTAGGGCTTTTACATAGTCAACTCTTCAAAACAATAATACTATCATGAATGAATGAATTTGAATTGAAAATTGTTTTACAGCTTGTGGTACAAATGTTCAAAATGTTTTCCTTCAACATTGATACATTTCTGGAATTGTTATTCATAAAGTGGCACAGTCAGGAGCACAGAGTTTACTGGGTTATTCTGATTATCATGATTCCTTCCCACAGAATTGTGGAACTGACTTTTTATATGTGTAATTTTTATTGCAAATTTTTCCACAAAACAGAAACATTACTTTAATCTGTTAGTATAATTTTTTTATTATTCTCCTTTATTTTAGTTTTAATTAATTAATTTTGGAGTCCATCAACTTGGTCAACTCAACTTGATGGACTCAGAGAGGGTCTACCAGTGTGGTTCCAGTAAGATTATGAATCCCTTGTTATGGATTACCCATTCATGGTTGGCTTGATGAGAACTTCCTAGGAAGATGGATTGGCCAATTCACTGGATCTTGCTCAAATGGACTTTTTCTTATGGGGGTTTCTTAAGACAAAGGTGTACCAAGTAAAAATTAGAATTCTTGACCATCTCTGTGAATGGATTGCATGCATTTGTGCATCCATTGATAGCAATGAGTGCTTGTTCCAAAGGGCTCACAGGAGTATGAAATACCACCTGCAAACATGCTTTGAACTGAATGGGAAACATTTCAAACAATTATGATTTGGTTCCACTAATAAGTGTATTTCCCATTGGGTAGAGACTTTTCAGACATCCCGTAGAAAAGGAAATATTGGAGATGAACTGTTTTTGAACTGCATCATGCTTTCAGATGTGCCTTTCCCTGACTTTGAATTTGTGCCTTACCACTGGAAAAGTTGGACATCTCTATTTTGGGCTGTTATGAATGACTCACTCTTCATTGTAGGGGTCTTGCTTGCCTGTGGGGTGGATGAGAACTTGGCTGCTGGAGCCATTCGATTAAGTGTGGGTCGAGAGACAACGGAGCAGGAGATCAAGGAGGCCGTCCTCCTTCTTCGGGAATCTGTGTCCTTGCACAAGTGATCTGTGTGACTTCTTGATGTTTGATCTTTGCCAATAAAGATGATATATTCTGTCACTGGCTCTCATGCCTTTTTTCTTTTTTAAAAATGAAATTCTCTAGTTCTATTAATTATTTCAGCAACTTCATGTCCCATTTGCAAAGTATTCACTTATAAGAATTCAAATCCTGACGACGTATTGCTGGGGGTGAACTTCAGACACCGCAATAAATGTGTGCACTCCTGTGTTTTGTCAAAGTAGGGTTTCATGTTTCCGGTCACTTTGAGCCTCTCACGGCCAGCAGAGACAATTACTGTCTGACTCGACCTATGGCAATGTCGCGATTAGTAGAGAAAGGAAATTAGGAAGTGCATGATGCTGTCTTTCCAAGGACTGCAGTGCTGATACTAATTACGTATCTTTGTGGGCTTCCACTTCAAACGGTAAAATCCTCAGCAAAGACCTTATAAACCGTTCTTGATCTTTACCTTCCTTTTTTTTTTAAGCAAAGCCATATCCTTTAAGACAGGGTTTGCTAAAGCACTTATACCACCCACGGATGCTCGCGTGTCATTATTACATCCGTCGTGGATCGTGCGAAGCATGAGAATGGAAGTACCCAGTTGACCCGAAACTGGAAATCAGCGGGAATGAGCGTGCAATAACGGGGAACGGCGGTGCAGGAACACTATGCTAACGATAACAAAGTGGTTTCTAGATTCTCCTGGAGAGGCAATCGATGCCAAAAGGCTCTTTTCGGTGGAAGTAGTATTTACAGAAGAGGTAGGGACACTGCCTCTTGATCTTGCAGCCGATACGAACTATTGCCCTTGACAGCCTGGGGCCGTAACTAGAAGGGGGGGGGGGGAGCTCTTTTTCATGACGCTATTATGCTCTTATTTGGTTAAAAGATATTTATTAGCGTAACTGTAACGTATAATATCGGACTCAGCGTCCGGTAGGCCGGAGACAAAATACCATCTTAATAGGTAATTTAAAAACCCATTTAAAATTTACCGTCCGTCAAAATCTGGAATCCGTCAAAAACCTGGCGGTGAAGCATCTCACAGTGATAACCTGCGTATGATGAATCTACCATAACGTCGATTTGATAAATATTTTTTGTGGGAATCCCACCAGTTGGTAATTTATCGCTTCTATTTAAAATCGTTTTTGCAAGTGTGATATACAAGTCGTGCCTCTTCGTCCCGTGCGTCTTCGTATTCCTGCTGAAAAATCCCATATTGTTATTCCGCGGCATAACAATATCGTTTGTCTGTTGATTCAACGAGAGTTTCGGAATAATTTAAATCAGATTTGGTCCGAATTTCACAGAACCACATTTAGATTTCGGTAATTAGTTTTCCCGCTTTTAAAATTCAGTCCGACGACAAAGTACTGAATCCAAATTTAGTCTTGAGAATGACATGAGGTAAGAGTTCACACGAACAAGGATGATGAAACCTGCAATAATAAAATTTCCCTCTATTTAGGAGCCAATAAGTCGTTTCCGTCGATAAGAGCTTCCCGGGTAGATATTACACGGTTCTATGCTATCAGGCCTTCCTTGTTACGACCCTCAGCTTCGTGCAATCGTTCGCAACGACATAATTTTCGGTCTCACAGGAAGGAACTCGCTCCCCAGCCGAGAACGCAGGGAAATGCTCGGAAATGCTCCCTCGCCTCGACGTCATCCAAAGAAGAGAAGGAAAATGCGGATGGCCTCGACTCGATGGACGAGGTCGCGAGTCGCAGGTCAAAAACTCAATTAAGAGTTACGGGTGAAGGATCATCCCGATCTCTTAACTCCTGGCCTTTTCCACCGATTAAGACGAGGCCATGGACATTTTCCTTTTCCATCTATCTAACGACACGCGCGACCGCGTCGGCGCGAGGGGGCACTCCCCTCCCCCTACCCGCCCCCCACCCTCCAGCCCCCCCTTCCCCTCACCTGCCCCCACCCTCCAGCCCCCCACTAACCCCATAGGGTTTCCAGCATTCTCCTTGGGCACCTACGATCTCACTGAAATGATGCTCCACAGCAATTTAGGATAGTGGGAAGCATACGAGTATAAACAGGGTGTCCGAGAATGGTCGCAAATTAAATCAAAATTAATATCTCTGGAAAGAAGTGATATACAGGGTGTCCCAGAAATGTTGTCCAACGTTTCAACTAATATAACTTTCTTTAATTTTCATGCGAATTACATGGGATTTTTATTATTATTTTACAGGAAGCCCTCGACTATATAAATGCATGACGGAACTCACCCTCGAAGATAAAGTGAGACGTGCAGCCTGGGCCATGACATAACGGAAACGATCCCGAAAGTCATCGCCGATTCGGAAGGGAACGCGGGAGAGAACCACCATCCGCGAGACAAATTAACGGGTGGAGAAGAAAATTTGGGGGGAAACTGGAAGTCTCCAGAACGTCATACTTTCCGGTGGGAAAAGAACATCGACGGGACCTCATTTCTCGGAACAGATTCTTGCCAACAAAAAAAAGGCGGGAAACTTTTCGCGCTAGAGCTCTCGATGGACTTTGGTAAGGGCTTTCAAGCGATTGGGCCTCTGGATGCCGATTCACGCCACATCTGTCGCACAGACTTCTTTGGGCTCGAGTGAATCTAGGCAAGATTCACTTCCATCGTGTATTTATATAGTCAAGGGCTTCCTGTAAAAGACAATAAAAATCCCATGTAATTCGCATGAAAATTAAAAAAAGTTATACAAGTTGAAACGTCGAACAACATTTCTGGGACACCCTGTATTTCTTTCCTACTTTTCAACAAACGGTAGGCACACTCACCGAGTTTCTTTCGGGAGTTGATGGACCTCGACGCGTGCACCTTTTATAGCTCGGCACGCGTCCGATCGTGACTCCACCTCGCGCCAGGCGTTCGTCAACGCGTCCGAGACGACGGTGTCGACTGCCGCAACAACTCTGTCTCGTGAAAGTGTCACGTCGCCTCGACCCGATGAACAAACTCTCGCACGACCCGACGGGAAAGAGTCTCTCTCGGGGTGAAGACGGACGACCGCGGGATCTCCGAGTTTTCTCACGCGTCTCGATGCGTCGATGCGCCGTTTGAGAGTCCGGACGAATCCGGACATTTTCGTGCTCTCGTGCCAGGCACGGAGCGATAGCAAGAGCGAGACGTGCGCGGACGAAGGCGGTTTCGAGTTTCCATCCGAGCCATCATCCCACCTGAAACCGCTTCTTCATCACGAAAGGCGAGAAGCAGGAGAAAGCCACGAAGACGGGAAGGAAGCCCCTTGCACGATCGGACGTGCCCCACGAACATTCCATGCACGATCGGACGTGCCCCACGAGGTCCTCATGCACGATCGGACGTGTCCCGCGAAGACTGCATGCACGATTTGTCATGCCCCGATCGTGAAACGATGCAATCCGGGATAGTGAAACTATTTTTCGGTTCGCATTCATTTTTATCATAAAATACTACCGAAGTACCCGGCGTTGTCCAGGGGAATTCAATATTTCGTGCATGACAAATTGGGAAACATTAGCCTTGTGGTTTCCTACGAGTTACCGATCTTAGGTGTCGCAAAATGCGCTCGGACCCCTTTCCCTTTTTTTTTTTTAACTTCCTTTCTTTTTTAACGGTTTGAATAATTTCTCTATTGTTTTGGAGTTAAAAACTTTTTGGTAAGATGTTTTTATCGTTTTGAAACATGTTTTACATGAAAACTCGATCAAAATAATATTATTTGATACTTACGACCTACTGTGGTGATCCAGCAATGGGATGACCCCGAGACACTGTGATGCAGGTGGCCGGGAGGGGAGAGTCGGATGGAATGAGAGGACGGAAAAGAAGGCAGGGGACGGCCGGGAATCGAACCCTCGACCTCCCGATCGCCGGTCAGGTGTGCAACCGCTGCACCGGGGAGTCCGGGAGTCGGTCGTTCCTCTCGATGCCATCCCAGACGCTACGGTACCCCGGAAAAGTACCCCGGGAGTGAACATTTTGGATGGAAACGTAGCCCTCGACCTTCCCCCGGACGAAAGCGGAGGCCGTGCAACGTTTGCTCGCACTGGCTCCTGCGGACTCCGAATGCATAAAGGAACGGACAGACAAACTTTCTCCTTTATGTATCGAGAGATTTGTGATGGCCGAGATCCAGCAACCGGTGTCCGATTCGAAAACGTGGAGTCTGGAGGAAAAAGGAGGAAACTGGGGGAACGAACGCGTGGCGTCCGTCTCGAGACTCCGCCCTTTCCGCGACCCACGCGATGCGATCTCTCTCTCTCTCTCTCTCTCTCTCTCTCTCGTCTCTCCGTCCGTCTGTTTCTTTTGGCAGGGAAGAGCGAGTATTCCCGGCTTCGATGGTTCTCGCTTTTTGCCACGCGTTGGGTTCGTTCGAGATGGAGGGGCATCTTCGACCGCGAAGGGTCTCGCGGATGCGAACGAGTCGTCGTGCGGCGACTGTCGATGGCTTCCGTGCAAATTTTAAGCAAATCTGCACCGTCGCACTCGCACGTATTTCCATCTTGGGTCGCCCGGTATCAGAGGATTAAAAAAAAGATGTTTCTCCGAACTGTATGATCTCTCCGTAAAGTGATGAGATTCGCGCGAGTTCTCAGTAGATAGAAATACTGTATAACCCGGCTTCGTTTTTCGCATTCGCTCGATGGGAAAAGGCGAGCGTGCACGACGCCCTGCCCAGTCGCTCATCGGACGGAAACGAGATGCTCAAAATAGAAAATCTCATCATCATCACGACGAAGCCTAGATTGTTGTGGACTCTGATGGCCAGTGAACTCGTTCACTCTGCAAGAAAAAAACAGCGACTGAATCGAGAATCGAACAGAACCGATTCGCGACCCCGTAAAAAAAAAAATCCCTTCGAGTAAAACGGGACGAGAATTTTTGGCATCGAGAACGTGCAATTCATTGCCGACGACAAAGCGCAAAAAGCTGAAAACGGACTTTTGGCGTTTGGAATTCCTGCACGAAGACCCCACCCGTCCGACCCGGAGAAGATTCCCTCGTCGGAATCCTCGAGCGGGAAACTCGTCCCAAGATGGAGAAGGAATCGCTCCCGTC